AGTGGTGGATTTAGCTGGGGCCTGGCCAGGTTTTTGGGCCTGGCCGTGCTTGTGATTATCATGACGCTAAACTAAACGACGACGGAAAGAGCTCCTTCCGCGGTGCGATTCTGCAGGCTTGGCTCGACGGATGCCTTAGTCCCATTCCCGCGGCTGTCCGCTGTGACCAACTATCGATATCCACCTGTGTGCATGCAGACGACAGGCCGTGACAAGCAATCACAATGGAATGCAGAGTACGAAATACGGAGAATACGGTCGGACTTGCTAGTCAACTTGCAAGTACTTAGTGGGCCTCATATGCCATGGCTTCGTGACGATCACAGGAATACAGAAGTCTACAAGTAGTATCGCTTTAGATGCTGGATAATGGGGCATCTTTTCATGTCAGGATGTACAACCACAGCATGAGACAGGCGCCGCAAGTATACCCAAGTTGAGCCAAGTTCAACCCTCGGAGCAAGGGCGGTGGAGGGGGGCTGAACGGCGAGTGTATTGCCTCATTGCGCCGTGTTTAGAAGACGCTGCAGGCCGACCCAGTCCAAGCCAAAACACGCCGCCACGAGAACACAACGACACATTACTATACCTATATTGCCGAGGGCACAGTCGCGGAGTCTGCAGCTAAGAAAACAAACTCCTCGACAAGGAACAGCTCAGAAGCAAGTTGCACTGCATCGACGCGAGTGTCTATGTGGAGAGAGGCTCATGCGGCATGGCTGAAAAGGACCAAAGCACAGAATAATCCAAAAGGAAATAAAAGAAATACGAACATACATCGTTGTTGGTCGGGACAACAAAGATGGGAGCGGCTGTGACACAATTGCCGAATTCTGCAATTGAATCCTTCTGTGCCGATGTACAAAACACAAAAGAAAAAACAGACAAATACAATATGGCAATGTGACAAGGTGACAAGAAATAGATTCAACACACAGGGACAGAATACCAGCGACGGCATCGGCGCGGGAAGCGCAAATCATCGAGGAAACAGGAAAAGCGTAGATCGTGATTTTCAAGCTTCCTTCGCGTGACGGCCCCTCACACGCTTGCTTAGTTTTCCCCCCATCGTCCTCCCGGTTGTCTCCTAATTTCTCGCATAGAATGCTGAATGGCCGGCCGGCAGAAGCAAGCCAATACCAGGCGGGGAATGACCATTCCGACGCCCCTCTTCCCTTTGCTTTCACTCTTACAACATTTTCGGTGTTGATTCTCCTAGGAAATGATAATCCAATAAGGAGAGTCTGGTGCAGATGATCACCTTGTTGAGGGAGCATACCAGACCCCCGACCTACCACGGCGAGCAAGATCTAAGATCCAAGGCGTGGGTTGTTGGCATTCGCATCTTGTGTTCATGCCGTACAATACGGAGTGTATCCTTTCATTTGACCTACTATTCGATGGTTTGGCTATTGAGTCGGAAAGAACTCGATGTCGCGGCACTCCGTTGCAACGCGCTTGTCGTCACATAAGCATTTTCTCACATTCCTTCGAGGTAAGCTCGGCAAGCACAGGCACATGCACGGCAAACGTCCCGGCGAGAGGGTTCGATTAGGTTTGGCTTAATTAAAATAGTTGGATCGATGAGTGAGATGGCCAAACCCCTGGAAGAATCCAGAGCGAATGTGAGCGCGGCACAACAAGAGGAACGGGGAAAGCATTTTCGCTTTTGACGAAGTACGCTCATCAAACTGCCCTGTTCCCTGTCTTCTGCGCCTCGGTGTGCGGTAGCTGGGGAGCTGGGTTCAATAATCACTCTGTTCTCTTTTCTCTGTGCGTCATTTGCCCCCCTTCTTTTCACTCTTTCATAGCGATACGAGTAGGACGGAGCACGACGCACATTTTTCGTCATGCCTCGTACCAGCCTTACAGCTCGACATTGTCATCGTCTTTTTGCTGAACGTTTTTGTTCATCCTGGTCCGTTGTTGTGTTGTGGGCCGCTGAGATTCAAACCAAGATACGGATTAAAACATCCTGGTCTCGCAGTACTCTCTTCGAGCCCACAGTCACTCCATTTCCCCTGCATCCTATCGCCTTGTCCTTTGCGTAGTGGCTTTTCTTTTTCCTTCACCTTCTTCGTCTCATTGAGATCCGCAGCCTGCGGCATGATTGTCGCTGCTCGCCCGCTGATTTTTCCATCCTGTTTGACTGTTCAAGAAAGATGGCGAAAAGAAACGCCCCGTATTATCTCGTAAAAAGCCCCCAAATTCATCAAACCCAATCTCGCCTTCTACCAAAAACGTTCTCAGCTAATTTGTATCACTCGTAAACCCCCCATCTCAGCCCGGTAGTCCCCTATCTTTTGTCTTTTCCATATTCAAGTCTTCTATTTTAAGTTTCCTTTTTTTTTTTTTTTTTTTTTTTTTTTTCGTTTCTCTCTTCTATGTGCCAACAATTGCCCATGCCTGCCTTTGTTTGCTGGTGGGTGCGACGGCGTGTTTGTTAGCTAATAGGGAGAAGCCAAGTTCCAAAGACGGCCCACAAGACGCAAGGGATGGTCTACTATGGCAAGTCCAACCTTTGGTGAAATGTCACAAAACGGCACGAGGTTGGACTGCCCAGATCGCACCCGTCGATGGTGAGTTTAGCGCAGCCGTCAAATTTCCACACCCTCGGAGGACGAAGAAATATAAGTGAGCGACTACAACGTACTCTTTACGCCGAGGAGAAGAGGCGAACTGAAGCGAAAGCGGAAAGGAGGAAGGTCTCAGACAAGTAACGAGCTGCAAAGTGGCAATCTTCTAATTCGTACGTCGTATTGTTTTGTCTCTCGTTGAAATAATACCACCCCAACGCAAGTTGACAGCTGGCCCATAAGAAGACAGAAAATCCAGTCATTGCTTGGCAAATTGGGAAAACGGTTCGAAAGACATTGTCGGATACGACGTACCCAAAGAGCAGACAAGATGCGCCTGCAAAGGGGGGGGAAAGGGGAAACTCGGGGACTGCAGGACGAGCCAAAGACCATGTAACCATGGGGTCGGTGACTGGCCAAAAACACGACTGAAAAAACGTATGTCGTATGTTGTACATTACTTTGTACAGCAAGAAAGAGTACATGAAGGCCCGGGAAAGTGGCAGACAGGACCCAGCGTCGCTTCGACCAAAGCACAACCGGGAGCTGAACAGCAAGACGAGGCCAGGCCCTGAACCCCAAGATGCATCCGACTGGACAACACCCCCTCCCTTGCACACCCCGTAACCCACCTCCCATCCTCGGCACATTTGTTGCACGAAAAACTGCTCGTCTCTTGGTATTTGGCTGTACAGATGTCCGTACTGTCCAGCCAACAGTTTGGCAGAAAAAGGCTGTAGCTAGGTATGGTGGTCAAGAATAATGTTTGGCTTCCAGAACGATGCGCGTGAAAGGCCAGCAACATTTTGCAGGACCTCAATAGTATGGCCCGGAAATTGGGGGCTGGGCGGAAAATGTGCATATCTTTTGCTCGGATGTGGCCAACTTCCGGCCAGTTCATATCTGGATGTGAATAAAAAAAGTAAAAAAAGTATTAACAAAAACAAAAGAAGAAGAAAAAAAGGAACAGGCCTTGCCTTTCCAGCGTTCCAGCGCTAGCAAGCGACCCGTTGCTTCATACTCAGTAGAGTCGGCAACATACCCTTTTGGACCGAACTACTGTGTCTGGCGCTGACAATGTTTCTATTCGTGCAGCCGGGGCACATGGGTTATAAGCCGGGGTTGAGGATGTGAACAAAACGAATGGTGGACGAGAAGGATGCAAAAGCAGAGCCGAATGGAGAGCCGTTAGTGCTTTGGAGAGCCATGTGAAGCGGCAGAGTAGGCAAGCGCGACTGAGGATTAGAAAAACAATGGGAAACCCCACGAGTGTGCTTGCCTCGTCGAGTCTCGCCAGAAAGGAGGAAATTGCTCTTTCCCTCTGGACGATTTTGCTTTCTTTTGTACACAACACATCTTTCCTTTGCTGTACAATTGCGGCCCTTTTTAGCCTCACGCCCCCCTCCCCCCTTCTCTTTGTCGTGTTTTTCGTCTCTACATTCTACACACCCCACTCACAACTTTTCCTACCAAGCAATTTAGGTTCCTTTCTACTACCAAACACCCCTGGCAAGAGGAGAACAGCCCCCATCCAAGGCACAGGAAACCGGCCCACGGTCGCACTTTACGACGCACCCCCGAACCCCCAGTCGCTCTTTCCCTCGTTTGGGCCTCCTTCCCTAGTCGCTTCCCTAGTCGGCCGCTCCTTCCCCAGTCGCACGTCCAATATTCTATTTGTAGTGGGTTCACTATGATTGCTTGGAAGGAACCACGGCTCCAGCACAAAAGGTTGGTGGGGACTTTGGTCGCACGTCGTACAAGCACGGAAAATCGACCAACCTAAATAAAATATTGGCCTGGCGCACTTGTCTTCCTCCCTCGTCCTCCTTCGACCTCTGGTCTGTACAGTTGTTCAACCACACAATAACACAACAACACAACAACACACGACACTTCGACAGACAATTCTTCAACGGCTCCGCTCGACTGCATTTTCAAAGTATTACGAAAACACAATAGGCATTGTGTACTGCATTTTTCAGCATTTAGCGTTCAATTCTCGACAAGTGTATGCAAACGTCCTGCTCAAAGCATAACAGCGAAACGGTCCGAGTACGACATCAACGGACAGATCGACAGCGTCGCATCACGAACACTGAGCGGGCTCTAGAGCACGAACAATTCGCGTTTTATGTGCTGCGGTCCGTGTCGCGACTTTCATCTGCAGGCAAAAATGATCCACGCCGTCCGATACAGTTGATAATAGCATCGTCGGCCTGACGCGAGCCTCGGCGCTTTTGCCTCACTATCCTGCCCAGCCGGCCTGCAGCCATAGCTGTGGCGCACCTGTGTCTCGTGGGAACGAGAGTGTCGGCGTTATTTGAACGAACAAAGCACGACCGCCTGTCATTGCAACTGCGCTACAACGAGAGACAAAGACGCGTCTCCTCTCTGTCTCGGACGCCGGGCAGCTTTCACATCATCTCACCATGGCGGGCCACCAATCCCATCATGCGGGTCTACCTCGCCTGTCCGACAGCGGCAGTATGAGTTATCCGGGGCCTTCGTCGTACCAGCACACGCCGCCCGCGCCGCCGTCGCACCATCACCGACACCAGCAACCGGAATCCCATCAGCACCAGCATCCGCATCAACACCAACCTCACCCGCAATATCACCAACAACAGCACCAGCAACAGCACCAGCAACAGCACCAGCAACAGCACCAGCAAAAGCACCAGCAACAACACCAGCAACATCACCAGCCACAACAACAGCACCAGCACCAGCAACAGCACCAACACCAACAACATCAATTGCAACATCAGCTGCCGCCGCCACCATCAACGTCCTCAATCGGCTCATCAGGACACTCAAATCACCAATACTACCCGTCGCAGAGCAGCCAGAGCGTCGGCAGTCATCAAGGCCCAGGAAATCCGGGCATGGGTGTGAGCGAATTGTACAGTCCGTCGCCCGTTGGCGCGCCGCTTCCACCACCACCACCACCACCACCACCACCGAACAACTCGATCCCGTCTCTGCCCAGCATGCGGACCATTGACCCGCTGCACCCGCCACCAAGCAGCAGTTTGCACTCGACTCCCTATTCCGGACCGCCCAGTCTCCCGCCGGGCCCATTGCCCTTCTTTTCCATGCCACCGCCATATGGAATCCAGCCGCACAATCTCCCATCGTTCTCTCACTACGGTCAACCCCATGACCACGGTGACGACATGCGGATGCCATCCTTCTCCATGGGAGGCATTCGCTACAAAAAGGTACTTTTTCACAAGTCACAACTTCCCATTTTGTGCAAGCGAACTTGTCTTTAGCTGACTCTCATAAAGGAAATCAAACGGCGTACAAAAACTGGCTGCATGACCTGCCGGAAACGGCGCATCAAGGTGAGTTTCATAAGGCTGCTACAATTGTTTATATTGTCAGCATTGGCCTTGGATTTTGCGCTTTTTGTTTCCATTCGTCGTTTTCCCCCTCTCTGCTTGCTTGATTCACACTGGCCGCCTCTGTTTGCGTTCCCGACAATCCATGTTTTGTATTGGCCCGGGCAATGTGCAGTGCATAGGTCAACAAGCACAGCAGAAGCGTGCAAAGCTAGGCGACCGTTACCGGGTACAAATTGTAACTTTGCCGAGTTTGCTGGTACGATCCATCGGGCGAGTGCCCTGTGGGGAGTACTTTGCACAAGTGACAAAGAGTAGAAGGGCACAGAAACATGGATGTCGAACCCCAACAACGAGGACCTGGGGCGCATACGAAGACAAACAGAGCGTGTGCGGTTACCATGTTTCTTGTCTGTCAGCATCTGGCGACGTCTTTTGACGATGAGGATTCCTTCATTCGCCGGAGCCAAGAAAAAGGATAAAGAAAAAGAGAAAAAAGATTGCACGTTCCCCGTCTGCACGCGCGCTTGGTCGACCATGTTACTCGCCGTGCTCCATCGCGGTTCATTTGCTACAGTCTGTTTACATACAACAACTGGTTCTCCGATATACATGCTTTCCCCGCCATCTTCGCTACATCTCTCGTGTCAACTGCAATTGCAGTTTGTAACGAGCAATGATAACTAACACTTGCGAAATAGTGCGACGAAACACATCCGACCTGCAACAACTGCAAGAAGTCTAAGCGCGATTGCGCCGGCTATGATCCAATCTTCAAGCAACAGCAGAACAATCCGGCTTTCCTGCAAGCCACGGCACATGTTTCCCCACAAGGTTCATCGACCACAACAGCAACGGCTCCGGAACCACGGCCCAAGAGTCCCCCACCTGTTCCCTACTCGTCGGTGGCAACCTCTTCAGCTGCGTCAAATTCCGTGGCGAATTCAGCTGGAATCAAGTCCCCATCCATCGTTGGTGGTCCCTCGTCTCTCTCATCCGCATCAAGCAACTCTGGTAGTACTGCATCCAGCTACTACAACGGAACAGGGTCATCATCCGCGGTCACGTCATACCAATCGAGCCACAGCGGCAACAACATCGGCAACGGCAGCCACCACGAGAGCACCGACCATAAGGGCCACAATAGCAGCACATCCTACGGCCCCGTATCGCATTCTCCGCGCCCCGTTGTGTCGTCTTCTGAATACCATGGTACGGCTTTCGATTCTACCTATATTAAAGAAGAGCCGCGGCGAACCTACTGGCCCGACAGGACGCACCACGACTACCCGAACAATGTGTCCGATTCGCGAGACGCTGTACGGTATACGAAGCCCTACGACTATGGCCCATGACTTACATCTGTGTCCTGGTAGGGCAACGACGAATGGTCAAACTTGCCCAACAACAATACACCAAGCGAAGAATAGCGACCGTAGCACCTGAAGCACACACCGATATGTGCGGCACCGATAACGGCGTGGCCGTTTCTTCGGTGCGCCCTCTTATGTCTTTGGCGGCGGGAACAAACAAGACGCTGCGCATGTGGCTGTCAGAGTTGTCTGCATGAACAGTGGCCAGCGTCCCACGTCAGCTATGTTACAGAATAGCCGCCAAAGGACGAGGTCCGTTATCGCCGACACAAGATATCTGCTATCTCGCGATTTGTACCCACAACTCTCTACACAAAGCATTATTGCATGCCGTGTAACAATCCAACCCAACCCGACTCCGCGACCTTGTCCAAGCAAGGAGCAGTTTTGCTGCCGTGAATGAACCTGCTTGCACTCCACTCACCAAACCGCGTTGCCGACATTCTAATCTTAATATTAGAACAATCCCACCCCAACGTCTTCCGTTATCATTTCATCTTTCCAGGAAATATTTCCATTCACGGACCCATAGTCCCGGCTACATTTTCTGTATAGTACGATAATGTTTATTATTTTGGATCTGCTTATTTGGATTATGTCATGTCTTGCAATACCCTTAAAAGGGCATGTTGTGTTCAATACCTGTTGTTTATTGGTGTAAGCTTTTGATATTTTAGCATCGGCATGTTGGACCACACTATTGCATCTTCAATGCGTTTCCCACATTTCTATAGAAGCACACTCATGCACTCTAACTGGCTGTTTCTTTTTACTTCAACTTCTTTTTTATCTGCTGTCATTGTAACGGCGGCTCATGGGATTGCATATGATCTGTGCTGCGTTGGATGCTGGGACAAGGATGTCAATAAACATTCCCTTCTTTTTATCGAAACCGCTGAACCAAATCGACCTCCCGATCCCCATCGATGACCACACTTTACGACAGATTACGTCTTGTCCCATTGCCCCGACTTTTTGCAAAAAGCCCACACCAGTGCAGCTCACTGCCATACAGCACACGTAAAAGCCAGCGATAACGCTCGACGGCATAGCGTCCATCAACAGAAGTGCTCCAACCCACACACACACAAATAAAATGTACGCATGCGGAAAAGCACTCACCGCCACCCACTATGCATACTGTAAGCTCTGCGGGGCCGTGGTGAGCACCAAGACATGGTGTCATCTGCGCGGCCCGTCCCCGACTGGAACGAGAGGCAATAGCGCCATATGGACTCCAACAACAAAAGAGATCCCAGCCATGTGGAAACGAAAAACTCTCAAGATGAAGACAGTTGGCCTAGACAGTCTTGGTCCAAGTGCCTGCTTTGATCCCTGTCTAACTAGTATTCGAGGAACAAATGAGAACCCTTCCATCAGAGGTGGACCAGCGCACCTTCATTCGACGACATCGCTATAAAAAGAACACGAATAAGACAAGCGGAAAAGACTGCTTTACGACTGCCGTCTGGGTTTACCACAATACCGTCTCCCCCAGACGGCTACGACCTTGCTCTCACCGTCTTTCCCCCGTCTTCCCCTCGTCTTCGTCCCCTTGGGGCTTTGGGGACTGACGCTATCACAGTGATTGCGACGCTCCACGTTGGGCCAACCACCGAGAAAGCTGACGGCCACCGCCGCATCTCCGTTGTCGCTAATACTACCCCAAAGTTGACAAGTTGGGAAAAGGAACCAGAAAATATGACCAAACGGTAAGGCAGCGAATTGCAAGGGCGTCGAGGACGCACAGCGCCCGAGCAAAGTGGACGCCGTCGTGGAACCCCCGTCTCGCCTTCCCACCCTGTTCTCTTCTGTCATAATATTGCCAGGCTCTCGCTATTGTGCAAACGGTGTCGCGGCGAAAATCCATCGACCGACTAGGCCTCGTCCATTATCTCTGACTCTTTCACAACGCATTTTACTGTCGTTCTTCTCCTCTGCTTTCCTCTGCTGTTCCCTATTGTGTCTCACGTCTCCCAATTTTAAAAAATCTACGTGAATTTCTTGCGCCTGTGCAAGACACGTTTGGCAAACCAACGCTGCGAACAACTGTCGTGCCAAATTTGTACAAGAGCTCCTCTGTCTCCGCCGTCCTCGACATCAGAGCATCGTCACCTCAATTGGCCGTATAACGTCTCTTCACGGCAAGTTCCCGGTGTAGTAACCAAAGGTTAGTCTATTCTCAAAATCTCGTCTATGTTGACAGTCTTTCTGCCCAATCGCGAGTGCCTGGTTGCCTGGTTCGTTGCCATGCCCAAAGTCGAAACCCCCAACGGGACGCTCGTTATTTCCACCAGCTCGTCCATCCACCCACCCCAACTCCCAAATCCCCACGCGGACTCCCCACGTTAGCCTCAAACCTGACCCTTCAAGCGCATGTCCCCCTTTCCACCCCACGCCTCCGCATCAAGCATTCGAACAGACTCGTCTTGTACGTCCCCGTTTCTTGGTTCCTGGGATCTCTGTCTATGTCGGTGTTTTGCGAACGCACGTACCAATGTGCCTAACTAGGTATACCAGCTTTTTGCACAATACTGTCTGTGCGCAGACTCGACGAATTACTACGCTTTCTTTGTCCGTATCAACTTCTACTGAGATTGAACTCACATCTGCGTCAACTCGACGTCAACGTCAAGTGAAAAAGGAGTGACGCAGAAAGTGACACTTACTGTAGTACGGTCAAAGAGGCTCTACTCAAAATTCACCACAATCTACAACATATAAATACCGGGCCATTCCTCTCTCTCCCCGACGCTCTCTTTTACTTTCTTTCTTATACCATCATCGTTCAACCAACTCTCTGCCTTCAACATCCTCACGCTTCGACGATTCATTACCAAAGCGGCACAAATCTTCCATTGGCCTTTCTCCACTTCTACTCCGACATGGCAGCCGGCAAGTCGCCACGGATGCAGGTCCTGCAGCTTGGCACCATCCAACTGTAAGTAAGATGTGCAGTCTATTGCTATAGAAAGAGTGCTAGCCATATATATATATATATATAAATATACTGACACATGCAACACAGGGCACACGACACTTGGAAGTCGATTGGCGACGTGGCAGACATTGTCGTGCCCAAGGCCAACGGCCGTGCCGAGTTCATTGCGGAGTGCCGCTCGGGGTCACTCGATGGCGTTAAGGTCGCCTACCGCACGTTCGAGTCCTTCCGCATCACCGGCCGCATCGACGACGAGCTGTTGTCGGCGCTGCCGTCGTCTCTGCGCTTCATCTGCCACAACGGCGCCGGGTACGACCAGATCGACGTCGCCGCCTGTACCGCCCGCGGCGTCCGCGTCTCCAACACACCCACCGCCGTCGACGAGGCCACGGCGGACATTCACATTTTTCTGCTGCTCGGCGCCATGCGCAACCTGGCCCCGACGCTGAGCAGCATCCGCGCCGGTCACTGGCGCGGCCTGGACGGTGGTCCCCCGCTCGGCCATGATCCGCAGGGCAAGACTATTGGCATCGTGGGCATGGGCGGCATCGGCCGCACGGTGGCGCGCAAGGCCCACGCTGCGTTCGACATGAAGGTGCTGTACCACAACCGCAACCGTCTGGCGCCCGAGGTGGAGGCGGCGGCCGGCCATGCCGTCTACGTGCCGACGCTCGACGAGCTCCTGGGCAGTGTTGACGTCGTGAGCATCAATGTGCCGCTCAACGCACACACGCGCCACCTAATTGGCACTGCGCAGTTTGCGCAGATGAAGCCGGGGGTGGTCGTGATCAACACGGCCCGCGGCGCCGTCATTGACGAACAGGCGCTCGTGGACGCACTGGCCTCGGGCCACGTCGCGGCCGCGGGGCTGGATGTCTTTGAGCACGAGCCCCAAGTGCACCCGGAGCTGATGAAGAGCGACAAGGCGCTGATTGTGCCGCATATGGGCACGTCGACAGTGGAGACGGAGACCAAGATGGAGGTGTGGGCCATGGAGAACGTCCGGCAGGCGGTGCTTGCGGACACACTCAAGAGCATTGTGCCCGAGCAGGCTGGGCTGAAGTTCTAGTCTGTTTGCTTCTGAAGAACGAGCAGATATACACTGAAGGATGCCCTGAAGATGATGCTCTGGTTTTTACACGACGATTAATAGAAAGGGACTGCTTCTGTTCGTGGCGAGTTGCAGAAAGCTATGGATAGAGGGTGCGATAAGTATCTGTACTTCGAAAACGGGACATAACGAGGGAGGTATCACGGATGGACATTTAGATGGAAACCTATGCAATGATCAATAGGTGACAATCTCACGTCACTGCAACCAAATAGAGGCAAATAAAAAGATGACGGGCAGGATTTATCTCAAATTGAAATAAAGACAGCGACACTCAAACCAAGTTCAAAGCTCAGTTGGGTGGTAAAAGGTGACGAGAACTCGTCAAATGCTGGTCTCCAATTGGCCCATTTCGTCGTTCCCGCCCCACAAACCACACCACCGCGACTGCCGGGGAATTGGTTCTATTTCTAACAATGTTCCCAATACCTTCCCGCTCTGCACATATCGCCCCGCTCCTTCTTTATCATACGCCGCTGTCCATCCCGAAGATCACCATTCCACGTTTTCCTACCGACAGCTCGACGATACATTGCTCATTTCCTCTTCTGCGGAGCTGAACCACGCGGGGTCCTCCGAGCGATTCTAGTTTTCTCGCCGTGCAGCCGACTACTACGCAAGACAGTCGGCCCCACGAAACAGCTTACAACCACGCTGGCGAATCTCCTGTGGACGTCGCCGGACACAACGGCGACAAGGCCAAGCGCAGGGACTGCTGACCAGCCGTCGTCGCCGGCGCCGCCTGTGGCAGACAGCGTGCACAAGCAAGAGCGGCGACAACAGCGCCAGAATCACAACAACATGGCCTCACCACCGAACCAGCCGGCCCTGACGCCGCAGTTTTGCTTTTCGACCGTCGTACTACGAGGTGGGTAAACATTGCATCTTCTTGGGGCCAGTCTGTCTCTCTGACACGCCCGTCCAGACTTTTTGCGGGCCTCCCGCGCCATCGACGACACCATCACCCAGCACCTGAATGCCCTCGTCACGCCCGCCCGCGCCGGCTTCGACCCGTCGTCCACAGCGCACCGCGCCTCCTCGTACTCCGCTTACCCACCCAGCAGCGCCTCCTTGTCTGCAGGACCGCCACCCGCCGCATGCCGCGCGTTCCGCGATGCCCTCCTCTTCCCCGCCTGGCAGGCCCGCGACGACCTCATCCAGTACTGTTCCCGCGTCGCCGACGATGCCGTGGCCAAAGATGCCGAAGCCGCCGCACAGGCTGCTGCCCAGGCTGCTGCCGCCGCGGCGGCCTCCGGCACCCTTGTTGACGGCGACTATGCGACGCCACCACCACCACTACCACCACCAGCGGAAATCACCGAGCGCATTGACCCCTACATCAAGCGGAAGCAGTATGCGCTCGTCGAGCCGCAGGCCAACCTGCTAGCGTCGCTGATGCGCAACGAGAAGGGCGTCGAGTCCATTGTGCGCGCGCGATCCTGGGATGTGCTGCAGGCGCGTTGTGGTGGCGGGGCCATCGCGGCCAGCCCGGGTGAGCCTGGGTGGGAAGCGGCTCTGGAGCGGTGGCGGAAGCGGGAGGGACGGTGAGCGTGTGGTCCGTCTACGCGCTGTGTATATTACATTTTGCCAACGATTGGGGGATACGTAGTGGATGGGTGTCGGACACGTCTTGGGATTTTGGAGGAGCTGTGGATATCATCTTCTGGTGATTTCTTGCATTTGCAGTCATTTCGGCGTCATATAGGCATTTAGGCAGCATTTGATACGGTCTACGTGGTGGAAGCATGTGAATATATCTCTACTTTTACGTATCAAGTTGAGTGAATACGCACAGTGTCATGCAAGTCTGTTCGTCGACCTTTGTGAGTGCACGTAGGCCGACTTCGCAGTGGCTGCTCTGCCCCACTTTTCCGCCGCTGTTGCCTCTCCTACTGGAAGAACACGGCGCCGACTAGCTCCTGCCTTCCTTACTTCAGGAGGGGACCTAAAAAAGGGCAAAAAAACTACCCACACGATTTTAAGACCTCCCCCCCAGCTTCTTGCGGCAGCTGCCATCTCCGTTACCCACCACACGAGCATCAACACGGCCAGCCCTCCGACCGCCATCCTATCCTCGCGGGCGATCTCTGTCTCCATCTCCACCATTCATTTCACCGTTCTCTGGCCTGCTCTGCCGTCTCCTCCTACCAGCGGCACCTCCCTGTGCGTGGACAGCGCCCTCGACCCTCCGATAGGCTGTCTCATGCGCAGCTGACCTCGTCCATCTCGAGCCGACGTCCAGCTCCTACACACAGACCTACGCACAAACACGCAACTGCCGCCCCCCATGCCACAACCGCTCAGCACACGGGATGCCAACCTGTTTCGCCAGGTCATCCGCAACTATGAGGAGAAGCAATACAAGCGGGGCCTCAAGGCCGCCGACCAGATCCTCAAGAAGAACCCGCGCCACGGCGACACCATGGCCATGAAGGCACTGATTCTCAACGGCCAGGGCAAGACGGACGAGGCCTTTGCGCTCGGCAAGGAGGCCTTGACGGTCGACATGAAGTCGCACATCTGCTGGCACGTGTACGGCTTGCTGTACCGCGCCAACAAGAACTTTGAGGAGGCCATCAAGGCGTACAAGTTTGCGCTGCGTCTCGAGCCCGAGAGTCCCCAGATCCAGCGCGATCTCGCCATCCTGCAGATCCAGATGCGCGACTACGCCGGCTACGTGCAGAGCCGCCACGCCATGCTGCAGGCCCGCCCGCAGCCGCGCCAGAACTGGACCGCGCTCGCCATTGCCCACCACCTGGACGGCAACCTCGCCGAGGCCGAGCGGATCCTGACGACGTACGAGGAGACGCTCAAGAACCCGCCGCCCAAGTCCGACATTGAGCACTCCGAGGCCATCCTGTACAAGAACCGCATCATTGCCGAGACGGGCGACATCCAGCGCGCGCTGGACCACCTCGAGGCGGATTCGGTCGCAAACAGCCTCGACCGTCTCAGCGTACTGGAGCGCCGCGCCGAGTACCTCACGGCCCTGGGCCGCAGCGAGGATGCGGCCGCTGCCTGGCGCGTGCTCATCGACCGCAACCCCGACCACCCGGCCTACTACCACAGCCTTGTCAAGGCGCTGGGCCTGGACGCCGAGGGCGCTGACGTGGCTGCCCGTCTGGCCGTTTATGACGAGTACGCTGCCAAGCACCCGCGCGGCGACTCGGCAAAGCGGCTGCCGCTGGACTTTTTGTCGGGTACGTCTACCACTTGGTCGTATTGGTTTAAAGATCTCCTACTAACTGCTGTTGTTTTCTCGTTTTCTCTCCAGGTGATCTCTTTAAGGAGCGCGCACGAAAGTACCTTTTCCCGATGCTCGACCGCGGCATTCCGTCGCTGTTTGCCAACCTGAAGCACCTGTACACCGATGACGCCAAGAAGGTGATTCTGCCCACTCTTGTCGAAGAATACCTTGCCTCCTCCCAGACCTCCTCCGCACAACAAAACGGCGACGCCAAGACGGACTCGTCCAAGGGCGAGGGAGCGGCGCTCTACTTCTTGGCACAGCACTACAACTACCACCTCACGCGCGACCTCGCCAAGGCGGACGAATACTGCGACAAGGCGATTGCGCTGGACGACAAGAGCGTGGACTTTCAGATGACCAAGGCGCGGATATGGAAGCACAAGGGCGACCTGCAAAAGGCCTCGGAGGCCATGGACAAGGCCCGCAGCCTCGACACGCACGACCGCTACATCAACAGCAAGGCAGCCAAGTACCAGCTGCGCAACAACGAGAACGAGGCGGCGCTCAAGACGGTGGCGCTCTTCACGCGGCCCGACTCGGCGGCCGACCCGCTGTCGGACCTGCTCGACATGCAGTGCATCTGGTTCCTGACCGAGGACGGCGAGGCGTTTGCGCGCCGCGGCAACATCGGCATGGCCCTGAAGCGCTTCCACGCGATTGCCAACATCTTTGACATTTGGCAGGAGGACCAGTTCGACTTCCACTCCTTCTCGCTGCGCAAGGGCATGATCCGCGCCTACATTGACCTTGTGCGCTGGGAGGACCGGATACGCGAACACCCCTTCTTCACGCGCGCCGCGCTCGACGCCGCCCGCCTATACGTGAGCATGTACGACAGCGCCCAAACTGCATCCACCAACGGCTCTGCGGCTGGCGCGACGGGCGGTGCTGCGGATGGCGGCGCCGGCGCCGCCGGCGCCACCAATGGCACCAACGGCACGTCGGCTGCCGACGCAGCGGCCGAGAAGAAGAAGGCCGCCAAGAAGGCCAAGAAGGAGGCGCTCAAGGCCGAGCGCGAGGCCGCCGAGAAGGCGGCCAAGCAGGACCCCAACAAGGGCAAGTCGGCGGCGGCGGCGGCGGTCGATGCCGAGGGCGCGGCCAAGAAAAAGGACGAGGACCCGCTGGGCCTGAAGCTCGCGGCGACGGCCGACCCGCTCGGCGAGGCCACCAAATTCATTGCGCCCGTGCTGCAGTTCAGCCCCAAGGACCTGGACGGCCAGATGGTCGGCTTCGAGATTTACCGGCGGCGCGGCAAGTTTTTGCTGGCGCTGCGCTGCCTCAAGGCGGCACACGCCCTCGCGCCGGAGAACGCGCAGGTGCAGGAACAAGCCAAGGCGCTGCGGGCGGCCCTGACGGCGGCCGATGTGGCGACGCTGCCGGCCAAGGTGCAAGAGGTGCTGGCAGCGGAGTTTCCGTAAGGGACGGCCGTACGTGGGGTGTGGGCTCTAGATGTTTGAGGACGGATTTGTAGTTTGTACTATGGGGGTCCCTGTTCCGTGACACAATTTTCGTTTATTTTTTATTTTCACTTGCGATTGCTTGCTGTCCCGTTTCCCACATTTCTTCTTCGTCTTTCACCAAAAAGCCTAGACCGATGGAGAGGTGGCGTCATTCACGATTACGTTTAGTTTTACACCGTATGATACAAGGGATATTGTTTGAAAAGCGGTTGACGTTGGAGGGAGAAAGGGAAAGAGTAAAATGTTACAAAAAGCAAAAGTATCAAAATACAAAATACAAAATATGATTATTTCCAGGTCAGAAGGGGGCCTATCGTCCCGCGCATGGCGTCAGCAGCATACAGAAGACGGAATGAAATCGTACCCAACTGGCCTTGGCTCCTTGGCTCTTGGGTATGACGTCCCTTGTCTGCCAAGTCACCAATCCGCTAGATCCCGTCCCGCTCATGAGCTTCTCTTCATTGTTCTGTCGGACCATCCTTTCCAGCTCCGATCGACAGCGACTGGCGGTGAAGGGCCTTGTTTTCGCCACACCTTAATGGGATTATGCAGAAACTACAAAAATGAAGTCAAAACGTGCCCGCAGCAAACTGCCGGCGCGGCATACGATCCTGTAAGTTGCATCTGGAGGACACCGCCGGCCCGGGAGAAAGATCTAGGCTTTGTTTTACGTTTATTTAGGTTCGCATCGTGGGATTCTTTATTACGTATATGGGCGGATATTTATCGCTTCTTGTCTTTCTTATCTTCTTGTCTGGTTTTGACGAAAGAAAAGGATAAAAGGGAAATAAAAATAAATCTAATGTTAACATTGGTTGATTCCTTTACATTGTAAACATTTACTCTTTGTTCTCGCCTCGTCATCGACCACAATTCCGCCCCTTTTCACACCGGATTTTCTCTCGCACAGCATATGTCTAGATGCACGCACCGGGAAAGGTACGGAAACCGAGTGGCCTTCCTCTACCAATGTCGGGACGCTCATTTTCTCTCACTGTCCAGACCTCCACCGTCACCGTGATCTCCTTCTTGGAGGGCAATAGGTGCCGGTTTGTCATTGGCTGGGACAGGGTGTCATTTGCTGCAACCCACTTTTTGTTGGCCTTCCCACAGGGCCGCAGGACGGTTTGTCACGCATGTGTTTTTGTGCTAGTTCCCTGCTGCAGCTGATGTCGTCACTATGGACCGGCTGGGGGGAGTGGAGGGGTGAGAGTTGGGGATGGGCCAAGGAAACTGGGTTTGCGTCATATGGCATTTCGGCCGACAGAACAGGGACGGGAAATAGATGGCCGACACGAAATGGCAAACCACTCGTGTGGTATCAAAAAGAGAGCGAGAAAGGTTGCATGTGTCTCATTTTCCTACGTGGCCAACCGATGGCCGTCAACAAACCAGGAACTGGTTGCTTGGTTTATTTACTCGCTAGTTTCGGTATATTTTTTACTATGCTCTGTCTCTTGGTATTTTTATTTTTTGTCTTTCCGCCGTCAATATCTTGCATGGCACAGTTGCACATTTCTTTTCCTTGCTGCTAGCTGCATGACGGGGGCCAAACGTTGGACGAGGCGCACGACATAAAAACGACGCACACCCATTGTCTCGTCTCGTTGCTCAAGCAGCTCTGTTGGTTTGACGAGACACTTTCTTAAAAGACGACCGATCACATACGTTGCGCCCGGACACAGAACCAACACGACACTACAGACACCACAAGATCACATTCACCGTATAACGGTATAATACCGCAAACACCACCACTGGCCCTGTGATTGCCACGGCCCCCATCAGCTACATACGCGACATAAATAGAATTCGGCCTCCTTGCATCAGCGAGGCGTTGTCTTTGCGGTTTCCCTTCTCCTTGTCGCCTTTTTCAGATTTTGTTTTTTTTATTTTGCTTTCAATCCCTCAAAATTTTACTCTGTCTACTCGTCTCACAGCGATCTCTCCAATTTCTCGCATTTCCATGCCATCACGATGAATTACGCAAATATGATTGAGGAGAAGCACCTCAAAGTAAGTTTAGCTTCGTGGACAGGATGTTTTTACGCTGTCATCGTCGCCTGCTGCTCACCATTCTCAGAAAGGCTTCATAATCGCGACACTGATCTCGACGGTGATTGGCACGTTCACGACGAGCATCGGCCTCTACGAGCGCGTGCGCGACCGGCACCGGCAGCATAAAACCGACCATGGGCAAGACAAAAAAATCAAGGAGCTGGAGCGGCGCGCCGACGACGCTGACAAGGCACGGCGGCAGGCCGAGAAGGACAAGCACGAGCACGCCATGGCCCAGTTCAACCACAACAACAACAACAATAACAACAACAACACCAACTTCCACGGCTATCCGCCGTACCAATACGCCCCATATGGCCGTCCCCAAAACGACCTCCGTGACGCCCTGGCAGCCAGTGGTCCCATGATCCGCGGTGAGTACGACCGCGACTACGAGCGTCTCGGGTCGCGGTTTGCTGTGGGTGACGCGATTGCCGAAAACGAGCTGCAGGCCCAAATCATCGACCTGCAGGCGTCCGTCATCCGCTTGCTGCAGGACGCGCTGGAGACGGGCACGCTGCCGGATCCGGCGGTGCTGTATGCCGCGGCCGGGCGCGCGCGCAACGGGAGCATCCAGGCGCTGCGGGACCAGTACCAGCGGATGATGGTGGCGGCACCCGTACAGCGGGCGATTGAAGGCGTTCGCGGAGGCGGTGGCGAGGGTGGACGCCGGGGTCTGCGGTCGGCCTCTGTGGCGTCGAGCGCACGACGAGGCGCCGGGGACGACTACGCGGCACGGAGACGAAGCGGCCGCGACTGGGCGGCACTGGACCGTGAGCGCGACCGCGACTGGGATGGCGACAGAGACAGAGACTGGGACAGCGACAGGGACAGAGACCGTGGACGGCGCAGCCAGAGCCAGTTCGGTGCCCGCCGCGCAGCAACGTTCCCTCTTGAAGCGCCGCGGCCGCCGCTGTTTTGCCGCTACGCCATCGAGCTGCAGCAAGACTGGCGACGACCGCTCAACGGCGGCGATGGTGACGGAGCCGGTCCCAGCCGACGCAACAGCCGGCGCGACGACGACGACGGCGACAACACCACCAGCACCAGCGACGACGGCGACCTCATCTGCCCGGCCTGCATGGGCCAGTTTGCCATTGAGCACGACCGTTCGTGGAAGATGCACAAGCCAGTGGTTGTGGGCGAGCGCGTCGAGGAGATTGTCAACCGAGACAGCAAAAAATCGGGCAGCGTTGGCGGCAGCGGCGACAACAACAACAGCAACATTGACCTCGACGACGACACCCCGGGCAAACTCGTCACGTCGCGCCGCCGCAACATCATCGAGCTCGTCCAGGACCGCCAGTTTGTGCTCAGCAACCGCTTTATTGTCAAGTGCCACCGGCCGGCCATGTACGAAACAGCAGACGACTACGCCGGCAGCGGCGTGCTGCTGCCGCCCACGTTTGCGTGCTGTCTCTGCGACCGCTTTGACACGGTCGGCGACGGCAAGGTGGCCGTGTGCACCACCATGACCCGGCTGGTCAACCACGTTTGTGAGAAACACACCGTGGGCGAGCTATTGTCGGACCCGGACATTCGAGAGCTGCGGACGAGGCACTAGGCGTGGTTTATGTGGAATCCAAGGGATGAGACTCTCTGCACTGTCGGAGACAAATAAGATATACGAATGTAATGATGACATTAAAAAGAATTAGACTTGTTACGACGTTCGAGAGCGGCAGTTTCTCGGCCCTGTGCATTTTGAAATTTCAAATAGGAGTATGCGCATTACGGCCGTCGTCTTTACCACAAAGTCGTATGCAATATGTTGAATCTCACAACGCTTACGACATACATGGAAGGCGAATGGGCTTATCCGTCAGAACTCCGTCCATCATCCGTTCGCAGTGTCAGACGCATGGACATCAGAACGGGACTCGCATTTCGATGCGATATTCTCTTTCCTCCTGGTCGTTCTTGGGAATATCCTGTCGCGAACTCGTTGCCGTAGACAATAATTGTACTCCATAGTGCTCACGGCATTTGCCGATCTTCTTGACGCGACGCTACCCCTGTGAATATGGAATCCTTGCCAGACTGACAGAAAGACAAACCCCGACAGACAGACTACGACATACAGTCTCGAGACTGACAGGGTACGGTAGTTGCATTGCCATCGAACCAGTCTCAGTTGCTTGGCATTGTTCCCAACAGAATCCTTCCAGAAGGGCAAGGGGCCAGGGAGCAGGGAGCAGGGATCAGGGGGGGGACACGCAAATCTGTAAAGCTGTGCTGAATTTTGCTTTTGCTCGTGAGTTGTCTTTTGCGATTTTTTTTTGATTTTTTTTTACCTTCTTCCTATTTCCCTTCACCCTTCACAACCATCTACCAATGCCCGGATGTGGTCTTTCACGTCTCCCGTCTGTCTTCATTGACATTGGCTGTGCTTCAGTGCGCACCCAAAAGTAACAGCATTTCATAGCAGAGTAATTTCCCGCGTCAAGCCAGAGTCGTAGTCTCGCGTATTAATGCATGCAAATTTGATGCGACTTGGCCTGCAGGGCTTCTAGTCCGCACCCACTGCCACGAGGCCAGAAGCCCCACAGGCCCACTAACCTCTGTTATATGGCGCGCCTCTGTATTTTTAGCGCGTCGCATTGTCTGGTGAAAAAGGGGTGCCTAGCGACGCTGACAGACGCGCCGAAGAGCCCGTCTCTGCACGCTCTATGTTGGGAGGACGCGCTCGCACTAGTGCGTCTCAGCGGTGTCGACTGCACTGTAGCACCCCAGCTGGAGTCCTTTGGGCAATCGCTTACTTTTCTTTAGCGCTCTCGCGAATCCCTGAATTTGACGACGAGCTCGTACGGCGAAACGGTGAAGCTCCACCAAAAACGGCACCAAAAAACTAGGACAATAGATACGGATCAAGGCGAGTCAGCACTACCGAACACCAGCCTTCCTCCTGATGGTGCCTTTTCCTTCATGATTCCTTTCTTTTTCTCGTCTTCCAGTCTCTTTCTCTTTCCTTTGTCGAATTGCACCTGAATACCGTCCCAGCGCCTCTGGCTCGACATCACGACAACCGATGATGCAGTACTGAGCGTCGACGTCAAAATCTCCGCGTTTTCGCCTCCAAGTCTCCTTGTTTTCTCAGTCTCGACTCGCCTTCTGTTCTGTCGACCCTCCGCCTAGATCCTCAGCTTCGCTCCTCTCTCATCACAATGTCGTCTGACACGGCTACTGCTGCTGAAGCGCAGGTGAGCTCGGCCGGCGCAAACGGCGATGCTATCAATGGAGCTGCCAGCGGAGCTGCCAACGGAGCTGCGAATGGAATCAATGGAACCGCCAACGACGTGTCCTCGACCGCCATCGACCCTGCCGACATCCCCCAGGCCCCTCCTGTTCCGCCTACACCGTCACCACCACCGACAGCACGCACTGCCAAGCGCCAGTCCCACGTCGTCTCGTTTGACAAAACACTCGAGAACACCCTCAAGCTCCAGACACACGACTTTGACATCCAAGACAACGACCTTGTTGTAGTTGGTATGGGTGCCCACTGTGAGGTGAATTTTGTATTGCGAAGAACACAAGATGCTAACGGCCTGCCTGTGTCCAGACAAGGCAAAGCGCAAAAAGAACCGCCACACATGCATGAGTTGTATGTATTTCACACAACGGCCACACAGCACCAGTTCTCTAGATCCAAAGCTAACCGCAATGCATGCTGCCTGCCAGCCTCCGCCGCCGACTACCGCCTCTCGATCCCCCTCTACAATGTCCTGTGGGCCTCCGTGTCCGACGACAACCGCCGCCTCGTCATCGACTACGCCGAGGTCGCCTCCAAGACCCGCATCCGGCCCGCCAAGTTTACTGTCTCGCTCGAGCCATCCGGGCCCGACTGGCCGACGCCCGCCGAAGTCGCTGCCTGGGCGGAGCTGCTGCGCAACCGCGCGTATGGCGACGTCCCCCAGCGGCGGCGTGCCTATGTGCTGGTCAACCCGCACGCCGGTCCCGGCGGCGCCATGAAGAAGTGGGAGCACGAGGCCCGCCCGCTGCTGGACGCTGCGCGTCTGTCCCTCACCGTCGTCACCACCGCCTACTCCGGCCAGGCCATTGAGCTGTGCACCGCCCTCGACATTGATGCGTACGACATGGTCTTGGCCTGTTCGGGCGACGGCCTGCCGCACGAGTGCTTCAATGGCCTGGGGAAGCGGCCCGACGCGCGCCGCGCGCTCGAAAAGGTTGCTGTGGCCCACGTGCCCTGCGGCAGCGGCAACGCCATGGCCTGCAACCTCTACGGCAGCCACCACGTCAGCGTCGCCGCCCTGGCCATTGTCAAGGGCGTCGTGGCGCCCCTGGACCTGGCCAGCATCACGTACGGCGAGACCCGCCTGCTGAGCTTCCTGAGCCAGGCCGTGGGCGTCATGGCCGAGGTCGACCTGGCCACGGAGAACCTGCGCTGGATGGGCAGCGCGCGCTTCACGTGGGGGTTCATTGAGCGCCTGCTGGCCCGCAAGGTGTACCCCTGCGACCTGGCCGTCAAGGTCGAGATTGAGCACAAGGACGACGTCAAGGCGCACTACTCGCGCCACCAAGCGCCCGCCAAGGGAAGCCGCACCACCGGCAAGAGCACCGGCACCAGCACCATAAAAGCTGCTGGCAAGACCTCGGCCGCGGCAGCAGCAGAATCGTCTGCGACAACGACCGTTGCCGCCGCTGACGCCGATGCAGGCGCTGCATCTGGCAGCGGCGGCGACACCAGCGACCAAAGTTTGCCGCCGCTGCAGTTTGGCACCGTCAACGACCCGCTGCCGGACGACTGGGAGACCATCCCCGAAGACAAGATGGGCAACTTTTTCTGCGGAAACGTAAGTCCTTGTCGTGGTCGCACCACCTCAATTGCCCCCATGTTTAAGAGATCCACTAAACCACTAACTCAATTCTCCCAGATGGCGTACATGGCCCCCGATACCAGCTTCTTTGCTGCGGCGCTCATGGCCGACGGCCTCATGGACCTCATCACCATTGACGGCGACATCTCCCCGGCCAAGTCGCTCGGCATGCTCTTGACCGTCGAGGACAACCGCCTGTTTGACAACCCGCTCGTCCGCTACCGCAAAATCTCCGGCTTCCGCCTCACGCCCCGCAACCAAAAGGACGGCTACATCAGCATCGACGGCGAGCGCATCCCCTTCTCGCCCTTCCAGGCCGAGGTCCACAAGGGCCTGGGCCGCGTCATTGCCAAGCGCGCAACCCCCGGCTACGAAGCACCGGGCCCGCTGAACTGGGACAAGATGGCGCCCGTTGAGCGGATCATGGCATAGGAGCCAAGGATCGCGATGGACGCAACGCATGGGAATGAGTGGTCGAGGATCCGCTGTTGTGATACCCATGAGGAGGGCAATAAAAGGTGGCTCAGACGGACGTGCAGTTGCGTATGAGAGACAGCTGTATGACCATGGCGTGGCTCTCTGTATTTATTCTTGTTCTGTATACTTTGTGGCACTCGGCGAGTGGCGTTCTGTTATCATTTCGTATTGTCTTTTCGGAGTGATGGAGCGAAGTTCGTTGTTTTGTTTCAGTCTTGTGTATTTTAGATGCCGTCGGTGGATATGTACAGACGAATAATTCATTGTGTACAAACGACATGTGGATACAGACATGGTGATAAACAATGCACGTTCCGTCGAAATTGGTCTCCGTTTTGAATATACCTGCCAATCTACCATGAACGCCAAATAAGAGAAATACTACATAGATGCACATACATGTAAAACAAATGACACAAACGCTGCTTGTTTCCCCCGCTCAGTCGGTGAACCCGTCCCAGTCGCCGTTTGCTTTATCGCCCTTGTCGTCGTCGCCGTCACCGTCAGCCTGGCCCTCAGCCGCACTCCGGTTCCACGGCAACCGGTCGTCCGTCAGAGCCTCGCGGGACCGCTGACGTACAGCAGGTGCGGTCGTCTTGGCGGCCAGCTTCACAACGAGCTCGTTCATGGCACACGCCAAAGACGATGTGTCAACGACACTCTGCTCCTCGCTGCTTTCACTTGTGGCCAGAAGCCCTTGCTTCTCGGCCTCGTCGACCCAGATATCCACGACGTGCATCGTCAGGCCCACGGGAATGTGCATTGTCGGCACCGCCTTGCGCGACTTTTTCCGCGGCCGCTCGCTGACCTCCTCGTCACCCTCATCGCCCTCGCCGCTCGCAGACGGTGCCGGCTCCACCTCGGCCTCGCCGTCAACGTTGAGCGGCCACTGCGCCAGAATCTCCAGACCGAGTGTGCGTGCCGCACTGTCCGCGGCCGTCCTGCTGCTCGTTTTGGACTTATTGCTCGTCTTTTTGTCTGCCGTCGTCTCCTGCTTCTCTTTTGTCTCCTCCCCTGCCATCCACGCAATCTGCGCGCCCAGCACGCGACGCACGAGCAGCATGAACTTTTCCATCCGCAGCACGTCAATGCCCGTCGTCCACTCGCGGGCCATGGTCGCCCAAAACGCCCGCAGCCACGCGGCCACGGCGGCGTCCGGCAGCTTCACCGCCTTGGGCAGGCCGGCCAGCTCGTCGCAGAGGCGCTGCTGGGCGGGTGCGCGGTCGGCCATCCAGAGCGCGTAGAAGAGGCCGGCCCACAGCTTCTGGGCGTCGTGAAAGGTCAGCGGCACATTGGTTGAGGCGGCATACTTGGCGGTGAGGAAGCCCTTGAGGCTGTCGAGCGCGGCGGTCCGAATTTTGCGGTCTGGAGCGGTGCAAAGAAGGGAATGTCAGTCCAGGGCTCATAAAGTACATCGGCACAGGTTCTTTCGTTCTGTTTGAACAAACGTCTGGGGAGGTGCAGAAGAACCTACCACTTGAAGCCAGGTTCTTGATGAACGGCATAGACGCTGCTGAGGACGTCATGGTCTTGTCTGGGCTAGCAGAGCGACAGATAGTCTTCAATCGTGTTTGATCGGGTGTCCGTGAAGTCCTGCACGGTGGCTACACGCCGCCATAAAGCTTTATCGGGCGATAGATAAGGAAAATTTGTTGGCAGAAAAAAAAAGTCGAGCAACAACGCCTACTCGAATATTGAATTGTTGTAGCGGGGCCGTAGTTGACCCACTTTCCTAAACCAGCCGCTGAAAACGGGCTAGCGTCTGTCCACCATTCTGACGCTAAATCGCTGTGGTGGAAAATGCATCAACACACACGCCAGGGTCCAACACCTCCACAGCACGTCCAAACTGTGTAAGTGTTGTGTCTTGATTTGCTGGCTCGTCGCTTGACTGCTATTGAGGAGTGCGGTTCGAAAGTCGCAAAAATCGACGTGAACAACATAAGTTAATGCGTAGGGCAAAGGACTTTGTGAATGAGGAAAGAGCAAGCCGCAAAGTGACAACCGCACCTTCCTCCTGATCGTGAGACTTAAAGTGCCCAAGCAAAGAGGCCATTGCCTCAAGAAACAACCAAATCCCAAACTATCCCAAGAAAATCGGAAACATACAAAGGCATACGTCATCCCACGCCAACATGCAAGGCCCTGTGCGATTTCCACAAGGCAATGAGCACTGTTCGCTTCGGGTTGACAATTGCGAATGTACACATCCCACGCGCATCCCGCACGGATTTGGGCCATCCCACTCGCGGCCCCCACGCCGGTGGCCACCACTACGACGAAACAAGCAATGCACCACGCAAGACGACATTCGACATGGACGTAGTCTGGGGAAAGCTCTGACGACATGTGGACCGGTGGGTTTCGAGGAGAGCTTAAAAGAACGACGTTTCCTTGTTTGATGGGGTCTCGTTCTGGTCCGTTCTTTCGTTCTTCCGTTCTTTACAAAAGGCCACTTGCGGAATGGCATTGGTCGTCTGGTTTGGTCTCGTTGAACTTGTTGATTCATAAGTCGTTACTGTTTGCTAAACATTTTGATACGCCGTCTCCCTAACTAATCCCATCCGAAGCACACGCAAACGCCCTAGTCCCTCCACTCAATCACCTCCCAAGACTTGACGTCGTCGTCAATCACCAGCCGGTACCGCTCGATGCGCCACTCCCGGTACAGCGACCGCACGGACGAACTCGCCTTGCGATGCTGCGCCCCGTGGCCTGCCTTGTGCGCGTCTGCCGGCGACCGCCAAAGGCAGGTGGCCAGGTTGCGGCCATCGGCGTCCGGCAGGTGGAACCAGTACCGCAGCAGGCCGCCGCTGTCGGTCGCCTCCCGGTGGGCGGCCTTGTCGAGGCTGCTGAGGTCGCCGTAGTTGGTGGTGGGCGGAATCTGCGAGCGGAAGGCGACAACAAAGTAGTCGCGCTTTTCCCACGGCGTCGCCGCCGAGGTGGTGCTGACCCGCAGCCGGCGGAGCTCGTCGATGACGACGGAAAAGTTAAAGGACTGGACATAGGGCGCCGTGGCGTAGTCGTCACGGGTCTTGTCAAAGACGGACAGGGCACGCGCGAGCAGCGCGGTCTGGGGGTCCAGCGTCTCCAAATCCAGCAGGTGGTCCGGGTAAGGAGAGAAGGTGATGAAGCGAGACGAGTCTGTCTCTGCTGATGCCGGCGACGGCGACGGCGGCGGCGACGGAGTGGGTTCCGTCTCGAGGGCCTGGACCAGGGCAGCTGCCGCCTTCTCGTTGTTGTCCACCAGCGTGGGCACAATGGCCTGTCTCGACGCTACTGTTGCAGCCATGTTACAAGTGTGCTGGAACTGTGGACAGAGATGATGGGATGAGTTATGATGGGAGCGAAAGAGCAAGGTCTCAGGTGCTGAAATATTAAAATATGGAAAGGACTTTGTGTGAAGAGACGTTGCTGAAATAGACGTGTCGCCGGTGGGAAACGCCTTTCAATGATGCTTCTTTTCTCTTTTTGCTCCTTTTATTTTTCATCTTTCTTTGCCTGCGCTTTCCGTCTCTACGTGCTTTCCTTCTCACCATCACACTACGTGAGATTTTTTATTTTATTTTATTTTGCACCGTCTCAAACTACATTGTTCGCCATCTCGCGGTCTTAGTAGTACTGGACTGTTGACATTCGGCCATCAAATGGCGAGCTTATCCTCCTATGCCGCCACTTGCGGGTACTAAAATAAGGGACGAGAGACAAGGGGGCAAGGGAAGAGTCGAGAAAAGTTGTTGTCCAAAGCGGTTTCGCCCGTTCCTTTGGTGACTCAATGTAGAGACACGGCCATAAGACGGCGGCGTGTACTTCGTGGGAGCGATACAATACTCTGCCGTGATTTAATAGGAAAACCTGAGGAGAAGCTGCGCCGGACGTGCTGTTTTTTTGTCGTGTTTGTTGGTATCTCGTTCGATTTACTTTTTGTACTTTTTGTCTTTCTTTCCCTTTTTGCCCGTTTTCCACGACACTAACACGCAGATTTGCCCACCCGAACGCCAAGAGCCGAGTCGCAGCCAATCGCGCCATCGATTCGGCGGTTGATGCCATCGCCTCCACCCGTCTTGCATGCTCATGTACAATGGAATTGCCCAATGGAAAGCCACGAAAAAAGGGATGAAAGAGAAAGAAAAAAACAATACCGCAATGAAACGTGTCGATGCTTTCAAAACGCGCGTGCGACTACGGCTGCCACTGTCTTCTGTCTTGGTCGACACAATTCGAATTATAACTGGACTCACCGCTACAAGTACGACATACACACGGCTTGCGAACTGCGAGATAAGCAGGTGGTTTGGGAAGCATGTAACGTGGATTGTGTACGGCGCGCCTTCCGCTTCGGCTGGCCTCTTTATGGTGCTTTCGGCCCAGAAGTCGTTTGCAAATTGAATTGGCAATCGATTGCATTCATTCTGCGTGCATTGTCTATCTGCTGCTCTATTTTTGTTTTTGTCTGTCGCCTCTTGTCTCCCGGGAACGACGCCTGAACTCGCTCAAATGCCGCCATCACCGTCTCCCTCCTGTCGGCCACCACGCAGATACGCCTTGGCGACCTCGTATGTACCTAGGTACAGCCCACTGCCGACAAATGTCCAGCCCGCCCGGAATGCGCCGCCTCTGAACAGACCTCGAATGCCGTGTTCGCGGTAGATGCGGCGTGCCAGCTGTACGGCGCTGAATCGTTTTGCCTTGGGCGGCTTGTTCTTCTCGTTCGTCTTGTCCTCGGTCTTCTTCTTACCTGCATCATCGTCGTATGGCGACAGCATCATGCGCGTCTTGACCACGTCCAAGGGCGTCGTGATGACAGCGGCCACAGCCCCCGACGTGCCCGCGCTGAACCCGTTGACGGCGCCGACGAACAAGAGGTGGTTCCTGCTGGTCGGGTCGCTGCTGTCCACGCCGGCCCACCGTCGACGGAAGCGTGCGCGCAGCGCCTCGAACATGGGAAACTGCAGTGCCGTAAAGGGCAGGTTGCGCGCGGCCAGGGCCGTGTAGCCGGCGAGAAGCCGACGCACCGCGCCGCCCTCGGCATGGGCCAGCATGCGAAATGCCTGGAGGGACGTGCTGGCCGACGACAGTTTGGACCCGCCGCTTGCTGTCGCCTTGCTTTTCTTGATCATCTGGGCGTTCTGTTTGATGACTTCGGCGGGGGTCAGCACCAGACACGAGGCCAGCTCAGCCATTCCCGACGAGAGAGCATGGATGAGCGCCGCCGGAGGCTGTGATCCCGGGGCGATTGCATTCGTGGCTGCTGGGAGGGCACTGCCGACGATCCGTTTCGCCCACTCGTAGGTTGTAAAGAAAACGCCGGCTGGAGAGGATAGTTAGTCGGGGCCGCGGTATTGTCCCGGTACGGTGTATGGTTCTTTAGGAACCAAAAAAAAAAAAAAAAAAAAAATACGTAACAATAGCGGGGAGGGTTGACCAAAATAACAGTCCCGATTCCTTGGTACAGCCCGCGGAGTGCATATGCCGACGGTGCTGTGACACGCCGAAATGCCTTGGCCGTCGCAATCGGCTTGGATGATGCATTCGATGTTTCTGCATAGGTCTTGATGTAGTCGCGGCTCTGCATGCGCGTCTTGATCGTGTCCAGTGGGTAGACCAGCAGGTCGACGGTGAACGCAGCAAAGGCACCGGCCTGTTGAGTGAGCATACCAGGTCAGCGTGTGTCTGTTTGTACGTGAAAAGGTGAGCGGATTGCATCGTACCAGCATAATCTCCCTGTGCGTGTTGTCATTATTGCGTTTGCTGTCGCTGGCTTTATCCTGTCCTCTGCTGTCTACCATGGTTGGGGTGGCTTGCAGACGAGTGCTGCAACAACATCACCAGCGGTGAAGCGATGCAGGAATGGATCAGATAAGAGGTGTGTGCGGCCGACGCAAATAAATCATTATCAGATCATCCGACAACGGGCGGTATGGCCGGCGGTTGCCTGTAGACTGAATGCTGTCGCATTTTAGTGGTTGGCCGTGACGTAACTCGGGGCAGACTACTACTGTCAATACTGTAAGTACTCTGTATGGCCATCTCTGGCGGTTATGACAGGGCTGCTCTTGAAGGTCTGCAAGAACTGTCGTAATTGAATAACAACTACCGTCAACCCCGAAAGAATCCTTCACAAGCATCCAACGTGATTATTTTCATAACTTTCTAGGGAGGCACAGTACGCCATGGATGGTGGTGAGGCGCAAGTGAACGCACTTGTGATTTACGTCATGGGCTTATCGATAGTGGAGAAACGTGATAAGTGCGCCACCTGTATTCTGTACAGAATATTCTGTATGGCGTCGCTACTGGAGGGACGCGATGGCACTATTACATCCCTAGAATGGGCTTGAGACGACGTCGCGTTAGCATCGTCGCCACCAAAACACCAAAACCATCATCCATCTCGTTGTTCAAGACTTTGCACCATCGATTCACGTTTCGTCCGTCGTCTGGATTGTCCCGTATTTGGCGACACTCGCGTCATTCCCGACTCGACCGATTCCGCATTCAGCACTCGCCGACAACTCTGTCCCCCCCCCCACACTCCCACCAATCCAAAATGGACATCCTCCGCGGCCTTTTCGTTGGCGCCGTCCAGCGCGGCCAAACAGCCGTCCAGTCGCTCCTTGGCCGCGACCGTGCCGACGCCCTCCGCCGCTGGTTTGCCGCGACCGCCCGCGACCAGCCCTTGCTCTTTGGCCTCGTCGTGACCTGGCTCGCCTTCTGCGCTGTGCCGCTGGCCGCGTTTGTGGGCTATGTGGCCCTGTGGGCGGTGGTCGCGTTCAGCGTCTTCTGGGCCATCTTCCTCTTCTGGTCCGGCATCGGGCTGCTGTTCCTGGTGCCCGCGCTCTGCGTGGCGACGGGCTTCAGCGTCGTCGTCTTTGTGTGGGCGGCGACGACATACGTTGTGGGCGCACGGGTGCTGGCAGCAGCGGGATTTGACGTGCCCTCTGTGTTTGGTCTCGGTGGCAGTGGCGCAAGTGGAAGCAGCAACAGCAACGGCAACAGCAACGGCAACAGCAACGGCAACAGCAGCAAGGGCACCTCATACGGCAAGGTGTCGTCTTCGTGGTCTTCGTCGTACGGCAAGCCGTCGTCGCAGCCGGACAAGCCGCCGTCGTACGCGCTGCACCCCGTCTCGGCGACCAAGACGTTTGATCCCAAGGAGTACAGCGACTTTTTGAGCACTGGCCTCGACAAGCCGACACCGGTCGAGTCGTTGCAGGCGACGCCCGCCTCGACAAAGTAACCAAGGATATGGCGCCTACGATTTTCTATATTTTCTCAACTCGTTCCGTCATGCGTATACGATCTGGCGTTTGGCGTGGATTTTGTTGCTTGCTGCGTTCACTTTTTTTTTCCAGACGAATACTTTACGGATCGTTTTCGTGCAATAGGTTCATATTAGCTTCTATTTAGGTCATATTCAACACACAGCATCAAACCGTGACAAATTTGCGAAACTCGACGAGGCAATTATGGACGAGATGTCCCGTCTTCTGCCGTCTACTGGCCATAGGTGGCCAGCTCGTTGGTCTGGACCAGGCGCACGGCCTCCTTGGTCCACTCGTCCAGGTCCTCGTCGGGCAGGCCCAGAGCGCCGTTCTTAATGTCCTTGTCCGTCAGGCCGTCGCCGCCGGGGAAGAAGATGCGCGTGTACATGACCATGCTAAAGGCTTCGATGGGCGCCATGGGCGTCTTGCCGTCCAGGTGGACGCCGCCGCCGCTCTTCAGCGCCTTGGCCGCGTTGGCCCAGCGCTCCTGGCTTGGCTCCGTCGTGATGGTCCAGTCGGCGTCCGTCGTGCCCGTCACGCGCTTGAGGCTGGCCAACATGTCGTTTTGGCTGACGTGGAACGACCGAATGTACGCGGGCTGCGGCTCGGTGTAGTGCGACAGCGTCGCCGACGCGTCGCTCGACGCGTCCTCGGGCAGCAGAGGCAGGCTCAGCAGCGCAGCGGCGGCGCGGCCGCACTGGGGCAGCGTGCTCGTGTACATCTTGACGTCGCCCTTGTCGAAGAGGGTCACCTTGCGGTTGGCAATGTCGAAGCCGTAGCGGCTGAGACCGCCCGCCAGACTGAACTCGTACCAGAAGCCACAGGTCAGGACGACGGGGTTGAGCTTGAGCTCGTGCAGCTTCTCCATGAGGCCGCGGTACGACTGGCCGAAGCCCATCTCGTCGTACATGGTCTGGCTGTTGGGGTTGGGACCGTAGGCGTTGGGCATGATCCACCGGATGCCGGCCTCGGCGGCCGCGGTGGCGATCTTGAGGCTGAGGTCGCGCGGCGCGCGCACGGACAGCGTAATGATCAAAAAGTCCTGGCCGGTCAGGGCCTTGACAATGCTGCTGTGGTCATCGTAGTCGACAACGACCTTGTGGACGCCCTCGGGGATGGCGCTCTTGCTGTCAGCGCGGGTGAGGGCGGTGACGGTGTGCTTGCCGGTCTTGAGCAGCTCGCGGGTGAAGTTTCTGCCGATGTAACCGGCGGCCTAATAGAAGCTTGTCAGAAACCATCCAGACAATAGGCATAGTCGGCATAGGGCCCAGCGGCCAAATCCACTTACGCCGATGATGGCGACCTTCTCGATCTTGTTCTTGAAGCCCGCGGGCTGGTCCTTTGCGTACTGAACGGCGGCCATTTTGGTATGTACAAGGCGGCGCGCAATGATTAGTGGTCTTGGACTGAGGTGCCTGGTGCGTGTCGGAAGGTTTGAGGGCTTGAAGCTGCTGGTGCCGTTGATGACTGTCAGGCGGAAAATGGAGAGATGTGTATGCATGAGATGAATTGGTTTGACTGAAATGAAACTGTCGCCGACCCAGGGGAAGCTCTGCCTCTTTATATGCGAAAATGGAGGCTGCCATTATGAGAGATCCTTCTCTTTGTTCGCGATCAACAAGGACTTATGCCTTTTCGCCGTCGAGTAGCGTTGTACTTCTGGACAGGTGCGGCGGTTAACACACACAGCCCGACGGTCAGGAGCTCTCCCTTTGTTGGTGCGTTGCCTGTCCGTTGATCGCCCAGCCTTGCTACTACTACACGGACTCTTGCCGCCGGCATTCCGGCAACCTAAATCTCCGACATGCCATCTCTGTGTTATGCGTCCTACTGTTTTTTGCCATTGCGCGGGCCATCGCATACCCCGAGCCATGAATCTGCCCTCCAAATCTGGAAATATCCCGCTTGGCTGCCTGGATAACTCCGTGGACGGGGACGGACAGGAGTCCGTGTGCAAAGGATCACGTTTCGTGGCAGACGTCATGCAGACTATTACCAATAACATGTTAACATTTCACGTTGTCGTCGTCCGGCTCCGGGTTTAACTACGGCGGGGCCAAGGCTTCTGTGGCGGCTGCACCCGCCGAGGCTCTGTCGTTCAGTGGATTCAAATACAGTTCTCACCCAGTGTTAGGGCTTATGTCCGCCAGGATTTCCGGATTGGGAAACAACAGTCTCCGACGCCGTATCCCCACTGTGTCTACTTTAGGCAATCTTCAGTGGGACATGTCCGGTCCAAATCCGGCAGGCAAGGCCCACACTACAATCCCTTGACTCCGAGGCGAGCAATCCTAATGTTGGGCCATCCGGGAAACATTGCCGTCGAATGCATACTTCGTATGGCTAATTGTTGCATCGCCGCTGTTTACGGAGTACGAGTACACCGTGAGGCCGAGAGGGGTACCAATGCAGTATACGTAAAGGCTGAAAGACACAAATAAACGTGGACATAAGCTAAGACCGAGTTGCCATCATTTTCTTCAAATATTCGAGCGAGGGATGAGGCCTAGAATGGTTTCTTCTTTTCCTTTAATGCGTAGCATGTTTGTGAACGTTTTAAAACCAAGACAAATTATCATATTTTTCGACGAAATTTTTTTTTTTTAAAAAAAAAAAAAAAAAAAAAAAAAAAAAAAAACATGACTACCTTCCAAATCAATAGCAAAATGCAGTCAATTTTTTTTTAAAAAAAAATAATAAACAATACGTAACAGCAAAGCTTGCACCACATGACCACGAATTTCCTAATCTTTTTTATTTTGAGTCGTTACCAAATTGTCTTTTTCTCGAACTCCCAAGGATTGTCAAGCATACCTCGTCCTCGTAGCTCGCCGGAACCGAAGAGATAAACACTCTGCCCGACCCGTTGTTGCAGACAATGCATCGGTTCCAGTGTTTGGGAGGAGATGGTGGGCAAGAGACAGACACCCTCCGTCGTGGAATTGGAAATGGAACAGGGGGCGACGAAGATCATTAAGGCTGACTGGGCAAGGCTCTGGACGCCTCACGTTGCGACGAAACGGTGAACTGGTATGGTAGGAGGTCGGACCCGGTAGCAATACTGTAACCGGCGGCGGAGGCCATTCTCAATCCCGATGGACACCATAGCCGGATTGAGACAAGCTGGAGTAAGGCCGCCGGGGCATATATCGTCTTGCCAATGAGCTCAGTCACCATCCAGGCATTGCAAAAGGGTACTGTTGCATGCCCTGCGATAATCATAATATGTGTTGTAGACTGCATAGGCAGCACATCGTGCGTTATCACGGGTTTAGTTTCCGTCGTTCTTCTTTTCTATTTTTTTTTTTTTAAAAGGTATAATGAACAAAGGAACCACCATTATTCTACTTGAGTTTTGAAGATACATAACCAATTGAGGTAACATTAACTGTAACTGCTGATATTCGATGTAGATTTCCAAGACCACGCAACACTGTCATATCTCTTGACGTCCTGACATTGCGTTCTTTTCGGCAATGTGGTTCAACCGGCGTAGATGTGATGGATTCGGCCCCCAAGATCGTTGTCGGGTGTCTGTTGGTTTCCTGAACGATCGATCAATTGGGGGCGACGGACATTAGATGCCCGTTTGTGTACGGCCTGTGCGCGGGCCAAAGAGCAAATATTGACTTTGTAAGGTTCGATACTACCCTACGAGGCGACGCAGGAGCTGGGAAAGCGTGAGAAATTGTCTGTGCAGGCGGAAGGGGACTGGTACCAAAGGGGCTCAGACCATACGGCTGATAACTAAATGGAGAATAAAAAAATCAAAGACAAGGGAGGAGTGAGACGATACGTAACAGACAACGGATCTCGGCGAGAAGGTTGCTTTTCTTTACCATGGTTTATGACAAAATTGAGAGTAACGACACACTCGGCAGTTCGAGTTGTCCAACAGACAGAACATCTTTTGTGTAAGATAAAATGTTTATATATAAAGACGAGAAAAAGGAGAAAAAGGAAGAAAGATATGAGATACGAGATATGAGAAAAGAGAATAGAAATAGCCGCCCATCTGTTAATTTATGTGTGAACGCGTAAAGTGACGGGCAAGGGCCGGTCCGTCGTTGTGGCTCAAGCATGCGGAATTAAATAGATTACTTTGCATCCATAGCAAGACTCGTGTGGGACAAATTGCTATTACGAGAGTGATGGCAACATAAAATCATGGATAAAAGATTGACGAAAAAAATAAAGGCAGCATTTAATTTTCTGACCCGCAGCTTCGTCCTCAGGCTTCTTCCATGTTTCAGCCACGGCGTGCGATCGACGCACCCCTGCGGCGACAAAAGGACGGTTGCCTCTTCTTGTGAGCCGCCCCTCTGTCGTCGTCCAGCACACGCGTTCGGGTGCTGATGGCCGGCCCAGGCGATGGGTAGTGGATGGACGATCTGCCTGTATTGTTCATGCCGTTCCTTTTGCCTGTACGTCCAAGTCGCCCAAGCACCCGTCTGGTGGGTTCACTTGTGGCAATGACACGGCCTGCTTTGGCATTACCCCGACCTCTCCCTTCGTGTTCTGTTTGGTCCCCAGTTTGCTGGCAATGTTACCATCTTCTTCAGACGAGCCTCTTCCATTGCCAACATACCATACAATATTCCGCTCGTAGGATGAAACCAATGCAGTAAAGCGTAACTGACGGGAAGGAAGCTTTAGGCAGACTCTTTCCCATCGGTGTATGCAAACCAGCCCTGTTTCATATGTATGCATACTTGGCTGGTTGACATATCGACGCACAATGGACCAAGAGCCTGTTTTGCCCTACAGACATTCACAGACAAAGTGATACGATGGTGGTATGGTGGTGACGGGATGGGAGGAACAAAACGACGAAGATCACGAATGTCGGGCCCTTTTTTCGGTCCCTCCTCGTCGTCTTTTTCTCCGAGTCTCTCCCAGACGAGTCTTTATGTCTCCAGGTTTTCTGAGTCGTTTTCAGGATCATTTGTTTTCTGGAAACGACACATACAACACAGAGAGGCCCGGTATATCTAGTCGACTACTGCCCTTCTGACTCTGACCGTCTTCCAACGATTTACTCTGCTTCTCATGGCTCATGTCAAGAACGTAATCAGCTAGTTCGCAAGTCGACAGAAACGACCGTTTTGCATCTTGTTTTCAAAGCCCGGATTTCTTTCCCTTTCTCCGTCTCTCCATCGCTCGTGTCCATTGACCTCGATCCCAACATCATGACGACAAATACGCCATTTAACTTCACTGCCTACTTGGAGCAGCCGATGCCCTGGCAGAATGAACCGGCCACCATTCGAGGCATCGTCATCACGTTAACGGTATGTTGTGTAATACTCATTAATACCCTTCTTACGTGTTCGCTAACAAGCCAGTCGATTGCGTTCCTCTGCGTCATATCTCGCCTCTATATACGCCTAGCAGTGCTCCGGGTGCCTGGCTGGGATGATGTGTTTGTCGGCTTGTATCTGGTACGTGACACCGGCCAGATCATGTATTGAGCCATACAGTGACTGACACGAAATCGTTAGATGACGACACTTGCATCGGCCGTCAGTGTTTGCATTGGTACGTGGCATTTCTTTCCGGGTGTTTTTGATTCCACGCAAGCCCTTTGCTAACCTTCTCAGCACCCAGCTTCGGCCTCGGCCAGCATTTGATCATGTTCACACCACGCGAATTGCGCATGTTCCTGATTGTACGTAACGGCCCTTGACATATCGACGTCAACACTCGTTATAGAGTATATGCATGGGCTGACCACACAAGATGTTCTACATCGCGAACGCATCGTATGTCAGCTCGACAGCCTTTATGAAACTGGCCCTGCTTTTTCAATTCCTCCGTGTTTTCAAAAACGACTCCATCGACTCCAAGACGAGCGACACTGCCGGCCGCACCTTTCTACGCCGCACCTGTCAGGTTCTTATTGTTATTGTTGCCGCCTGGGGCGCCACCTTTTCGTTCCTTGCTTGGGTGCCTTGCCTCCCCGTCAGCACGTATTGGGACGGCGTGACAAACCAAGACCCAAACCACCGGGGCACCTGCTACGGCTTCGGCATCTCCACGGACCGTACGGCATTTATTGCGCACACGGCCATCAACATGGGCCTCGACATCTGTGTGCTCGCCATCCCGGTCCCGCTGTACCTGGGAAACACAGTCTCTTCCTCTGCAAGAACCAGTGCGCCGGGCACGCTGGTGATCCGTTCCTCTCTGCGCACGCGCGCGGGCGTGATCGTCCTCCTGCTGCTCGGCGCCCTTGTCAACGTCTTTGCGGCGTGGCGCCTGGCCCTGCTCATTGGCTCCGGCGGCTCCGTGCTCGAGACATATGTCGACTCGACATTCTACGCACCGGACACGGTCCTTTTGTCGTCGCTGGAAGTCAACTTGGCGAGCATCTGCGCGAGCGTGCCCATCTTCTGGCCTGTGTTGCGGCAGCAGGTGTTCCGCATTCTGGTGACCAGGGAGGTGGAGATTGTGCGGGACGAGCGGCCGGGCGACGACGCCAGTGACGACGAAGACGACGTGGCCAAGCTGAAACAGCGACAGGCCGACAACGACGGCCACGACCACTACGACGACGCCTTTATCCGCGACCAGGTCGACCCGCTGCGGCCAGGCACGTCCGCGGGCGTCGAGACGCGGGTCCGGAGCGAGAGGGGGGTACAGAAGACACGGCGATGGCGACTGCGGATGTGGTGATACGGTAATGCGGTGAGGCGGTGATGAGGAGATGAGCCTCTTGTTTCGTTTACTGTTTTACTTATTGTATTTGTGCTCTCTGGGACAGGCTTTGTTTTTGACTCAACTCGTTCTTTTACTTCATACATCGATACCTGCTATCTAGTTTTCAAGAACACATGCCTTCGCATCATCTTTGGCTGTCTCCCGACTGCAATGTTTGGCAACCCCGCCTCCACCTATTTTCAGTCGGAAGAGGAACCGAACCAACCAGGCGCGGCCTGTTCCCTTCCTCGCTCCATGCCCCCACACAATTGCTCAACTAACACATCCTTGCTCCTCTTTTTCTGTCGCCATAGGTCCGCTGGCCGTTGCGGAGATGCTACTCATAGTGTTCAAAAGCGCACCTCATTGATGGAAGAATTGAGCCGCCGTAGCATGTCGTAGTTGATGGCGTCTTCCGATTTGGAGACAACGTCCTCTCTTCAAAAACACGACGCTTCTGCCTGCTCTACTATAAGCCTCGGCAATAACATTTCGTAACTTTGATAGTTTTAATCTGTCGACCTGCTTTCGATTCGCATTTCGTTTATCACGGACCACGTCGCTTTCTGTCCCCAAGTTCCTCGCCCGCATCAGAGCAACACGAAAATGCCTGAGCCGTTCAAGGTGTTGGTCTTCAGTAAGACCCTGGGCTATCGCCACGAGTCAATCGAGGCGGGCATCCTCAGCTTCCAGAAACTAGCTGAGCAGTCGACTGGCTCCGACCATCCCTTTACCGTCGAGGCTTCGGAAGACGCCGAGGCCACGTTTGCGCCCGAGACCCTGGCGCGCTTCCGCGTCATCGTCCTGCTGCACGCGTCCGGTAACTTTTTGACGTCCGAGCAGCTGGCCGTCCTCGAACGCCAGGTCTCGTCCGGCGAGAGCGGCATCGTGGGCATCCACGGGGCCTCCAGCGCCATGCTCTCCCGCGAGGTCGACCCGGCCGGCTACTACGGCCGTTTGCTCGGCGCCGTCTTCACCGAGCATCCTGCCCCTCAGCCGGGCCGTGTCGTCATCAAGGCGCCGCAGCATCCCATCGTGCAGCCCTTTTTGAAGGTCGTGTCGGCGCCGTCCGACGCCAGCCTTCCCGAGCCGTCCTTTTCGCACTTCGACGAGTGGTACAACTACGAGCCGACATCGTGCGCCGTTGTGGCCGCGCAACAGACGCCGACAACGCCAACGACGGAATCCCACGACGCGACGCACATCCTGCTGGAGGCTGACGAGACGACGTACGAAGGCGGCAAGCACGGCAAACACCACCCGATTGCATGGACGTGGCCCGATTTTGAAGGCACCGGCACACGCGTCTACTACACGGCGCTGGGCCACTTCGCCGAGGCGTACGAGGACGAGGTCTTTGTGTCGCATCTGAAGACGGCCGTGCTGTGGGCCGCAAAAGTGGTGTAAACGGACGGTGCCTGAGATGCGACGAGCGATGAAGCCGAGAGACGATAGACAAACATTAAATTTAGAGCGGATTTCAACGAATTTAATTCATGTACATATTGTGTCGTCCGCGCGCCTTCCTTTCTTCCTCTGTCTTTCCCATTCTTCCTTGTGAGGAAAGAACGCCTAAAACGTGTGACGAGGAAGGAGCGTTAGTGGTCGCGGGAAGCACGTCCCCCGCAAACTGCACTGTCACACGCCAAGCAGACGACGTAATTATAGGGCGCTCTCACTGGGGGCCTTCTCACTAAGCACGCCGCGCATTACGACAACACGCCTTGATGACCTGACATATACTAACCACTGCAGCTTCGACCTCACATCGTCCCCGTCGCTCGCATCCCTGTTTTCACACATCCATAGATACGGAATACGACATAGACGCTGCCCGCGATGGCTGGCACACACGGATTCACGCGCACTCTATGCGCTCAGCTCAAGACCGTACCGCCCCATATCGCGGCTGCCGAGCTGCCTGCCTACAGCTACCGCGACGCACCGGGTTTCACCGCTGATGGCGATGATGTGGCCGATGACCCGGTCGTCGCACAGTTTGCGTCGTCCAGTGTGCCTCATACCTTGCGGATTGGCACGGGTGCGTCGGTGTTTGCGTCGCAGCTGCTGCCGGCGCTGCTTAGCGCCCGTCGTGAGATTTTGCTGGTGACGTGCTTCTGGGCAGCCTCCAAGAGCCTTTCGGACCTCTCGGCCGCACTCCTCCAGCTGGCAGCAGCGCGATCGCCGGCGACACTGGAGTCGGTGCCGCCTCTGCGCATCCGCATCTGCTTCTCGTCGCGCTCGCTGCTGCAAAAGCTGCTTCACACCTCGTCTCGCGGCGGCTACACCTATCCGCCGGCGTCATGGGAAAAGGACCTGGGCCTGCCTTCTCCGTCCGTCTTGCGTGATGCTGGCATCGACCTGTCGGTCAAGAGCCTGTTCTTTTTGCCGTTCAGCGTCATGCACCCAAAATTTATGATTCTCGACCGGAAACGGGCCTTTTTGCCGAGCTGCAACGTCAGCTGGGAGCCGTGGCTGGAGGACTGCGTTGAAGTGACGGGCGACGCTGTGCGACCGCTGCTCTCCTTTTATGCCCAAACCTGGCGAGACACGCTTCCAGACTGGGACCACAGCGGAGACGGCGATGACGACGCGCGTCGTGACAATGCTGCACCAACTGCCGCTTCATCGCCCTTTCACATCAGCCCCCTCGACGTGGACGGCCCTGGGAGCATTGTTGTCCGCTTTCCCTCTCCATCCACCGGCGCATCGGCAACGCCCATCCCCACCGTCATCCTCCCGTCGTCGCACCACAGAAACCCTCTGTTCCGTCCCTTTCCCTGGCAAGACTACGCGCCGCCGCCGCCTACGCCGCTCAACCTCGCCATGCTCCAGCTGTTGTCGGCCGCCACCCGCCATATCTACATCCAGTCGCCCAACTTCACCGTCGAAGCCGTCACGGTAGCTCTCCTTGCGGCCCTGGGCCGCGGTATCGACGTCGACATTGTCACTGGTGAGCGCATGATGGTGTACGAGCAGATTCTGACGGCCGGCACGACAACAGGGCGATGCATTCGCAGCTTCGTAAAACGGTATGATGCCCTCGCACAACAGCAGCAGCGGCCGCAAAACGGACTTGGTCGGCTGCACATCGCCTACTACCAGCCGTTGGACACGACGAAAAAGGCCTCGGATGAAGAGCAGGCCATGCTGTCGTCTCCTCAACCGGCACCGGTGCAGCCCTCTACAAAGGCCGGCGGCTTTGCACCGGCCACCGAGCAGCCCGTCCAGTCCCACATCAAGATGACCATTGTCGACGGAGAACACACCGTGCTGGGCTCCGGCAACATTGACCGTGCCAGCTTCTTCACTAGCCAGGAACTGGGCATCCTCTTCCATAGCACCATCTTTGCCGAAGCCGCGCAGACGGCCGTCGATCGCGTTCTGGACGGCCGCACAAGGACCGTCTACCCTGCTCCATTTTCAGAATAGGCTTGGTTCATTGTTTTGTGGTTTCCGTCTAATCTTTGCAAACTATACCGTTTGATACCTTGCAGCGGTTCTAGAGGGTTTACGATTTATGAATGTTCCATATTACTGTTCCTACTACCTTAATTAAATCAAGGCATATCATTTATTATGCATTTCTTATATGAAAGTTGAGAGAGAACAGTGGGCATTGAATGAGACATCCAGTACACGTTTGGAGAAAAATTAAATGGTTAACGATAGTGAAATAAAAATACAATTTGCATACAATCTTGAGATAAAAGTTTAAATACAACTGGCAAATGCAAACTAAGCAGAATGTGAGTAAACATCGAATGCAAAGTGAATACAAACAAGGATGGCTGGTCCCCAAAGTACTGAAAATCATTTGGCAGTGCTGATGCAAGTAAACAAACGAAAAGAAGAAAACAAATGGAGGAAAACAAAAATAAAAGGAAACAAAAAGGAAGTGAAAATAAGAAACAAAAAGGAAACAGAAAAAAAAAAAGTAAATGAAGGAAATAAATGAAGAGCAAGAAAAATAAGCATAGGAATACCAAAAGCAAATGAGCCCAGCCTGAAACGCACGACGCTCTCAAATCATTGAAAATAAAGAAATAGAAAAAAGACATGCTGCCCCTGGAAGCAGTCCTCGCCGATATTAGCATGTGACAATTATTCCTTGTTGAAAGTCCTGATACTGTTCATCCGGCCAGGTAAGTCGCTACCGCTGCTGCCGCTGCTGCCAAAGCTGGCCAAGCCAAAGAAGCCAAAGCAGATATTGGCTTCCTCGTCTGCTGCGCTCGTTGTGGTCTCGCTGTGTGTGGCCGTCATCTTGCGGCTAAGCCCGTGGCGCCGACCAAGCCCCAAGCCCAGTGGGCCACTCCCAATCCCACCGTCATTGGGATGTTGATCGTGTTTCGGATCGGTGTCGTCGTCGCTCTTCGTGGCGTCCGGGCTACGGTTCTTCTTCTGGCTCATCATGGCCTTGCGCGTGTCGAGCGCAATCTCAGACCGTGCCCGCAGTGCATCCCGCATCTTGTGCTCGCCGCGTGCTTTCCACACATGCCAGCTGCTCATGCTGATCGGGTACAGCACCTTGTTGTCGAGCGATTCGACCCAGTCGCGGTGGTGGTGCTTCTTTTTGGAGGCCAGAATGTCCAGGTCCATGGAGATCTGGGCGCAATACGACTCCAGCGGCAAGTCGTTGACGTCGTGGCCGAACGGGTTTTCAATCTCGCGGCCGATAAAGAGAATGCCCAAAATAATATACGACGCCACAACGGTCGCCGGGATGGTCACCCACTGCAGCGTCGGGTACAACTGGAACGGCAGCAAGAAAACATACACCCATGTAATTTGCGAGATGGCAATGGAGTAGGCAATCGGCAGCGGCGTCGTCAACACGCGCTCCGTGCCCATCAGGACATCGTTGAGAACGGCAATGTTGTTGTACGCAAGGGTCTGATGCATGGGGATGACCAACTGTGTATTGGTGATCATCTCATCCGTGATGCATGCCAGGTAGGTCAAGATCTCCAGGGGCAGGTTTCCGAGTGGATAGTTGGCGCGCTTAATGGTCTTGCGTGGATTGCTTGCAGCAAAAGAAATGCCCAGATACCCGCCGAGGAGTTTGACAATGTTTGGCTTCGGCTCGTGCACCTTTTCCGGCTCTTTTGCCGTGGCATTGAAGGCAAACGTGTCCAGGTGGCCGACGAGATGCACGAGGTCCTCGTAGCCCGTGTATGGCTCATGCCTTAGTTTGTGCTTCAGGGCAACAGCGAAAGCCACGAGAAGATTCAACGACGTACTTTGTCACGCAGGTGTCAGGTCGGTGTAGGCATGAAAACAGATAGAAATGGGATGGCTGCAAGATGAGATTCTGTACTGGCGGTAACACTGCAGCGACCGGCAAGAGGCAGAAGCACATTGCACAAACATCAATAAAGCAGAATGAGTATGCTTGAATCAATAATAAACAAACCACTTACAGTTTGGTCAGCATATCCTTTTCTTTTTGACCCTCTCGTTCCACGGCATGGACCCAGAATACACGACCGAGAGCTTGTGTCGCTACCGTCAGCTGCGCCCAGTACCGCCGACCTTCGGCGTATCTATAAAACGAACGGATTAGTATCTAGACGGCACATGGTGGTGTAAACCGACAACAGAAGGTATCGACTTAGCTACCTCTCGTAAGCCGTCGAGCTTCGGAAGCTCAGGCCCAAGCCGACGACAAAGCCGGTCACCGTCAGCAAGATAGAGCTAATGCCCACTATTTGACATGGTCAACTACGTTAGAACATGCAGATTCCGTAGCGTTTCGTACTGCCGGGCAATGCGAAGAAAGACGAACGGTTCTTTTTTGTAAAGTATGAGACACAGGTAACAAACATCGCCCAAGTGCCAATAGCGACAATGGGCAGAAGCATCTTTGGTAGAATGCTGCCGTGCATTTGAAGAAACATTGGCCATTTCGAGTGTTTTTGAATATCCCGTGGGCCAGTCTTGCATTGATGCAGCAGTTAGTACAGATCTCATGTTGTACGACAATCATAGTAAAAACGTACAAAGTATTCGTCTAGATCAATTGTGCGCTGCTGGGCGGTCGGTCGGTATTCGTGGGTTCGCGGTTGGAATGGTGAGGACGCTCCAAAGCGTCCCTGGTTGTATGCCAGATCGGGGGGTCGATCAAGTGCTGGGTCGTGGCCTTGGTCGTGGCCATGGTTCCCTACAGAGACCCCCAACGGTGCGGCCATTTCTCCGATTTCGTTGTTTGCAGCCACGGCCGCAACTGCCGCCGATCCGTTGTCATTGCTGTTGTTACTGGCTCCAGCGTCACCAGAAGAGGGACCGGATTGAGAAGTATCCGGTTGGGTGCTGTCCGGAACGACGCCACCGTAAGGAGACTCACCACCACCATTGGGGTCTCCAGCTGCGAGTGCTGCACCGCCCCCAGCGCCTCCGCCGCTCGTAGATGCGGGTGCTTCCCCTTCAGACATGGTAGGAGACAGGCACTGTGCGGACAACGAAAAATTGAAAATAATTAAAGCAAGAAAAGGCCGCCAGAAAAAATAAAACGATGAAAATACCAAGATGAGACAATTGAACACAAAGCGAGAGGAACGGAAGACGACAAAACAAACAAGAGCCGGCCGAAACGAAAAACTGCGATTTAACAAAGATGAAAGAAGAGATGGATATGATACCTCACAGTTGAGATGAGAAGGAGAGCCACTGGCGTGGTATATATATGTGTATGTGATGTGCAAGGGCGATAGAATCATGACGCGTGCATATATTCGCCTCACACTCCCACACACAGATGTACGCTGCAACGATACACCGTCCTCAATGTGGATGAGTTTGGGTTTTGTGAGAAGTGAATTGTCACGAACACGCTGGTGTCCAGAACGGTGCTTGTGGGTAGGGGTTATTTGCCAAAGTTTTGTTAGACGCTGCGCGGGAGGGGGGGTGTTGAATATCCGATGCATATAAGCACACAAGGGAGACATATCCTTGAGATCTTTTAACATAACAAGATCGGCGCATGGCTGCATCAAGGATAGGAATCAAACAATGACCACAAAAATAATAAGACCACGCCTGCACAGCTGAAGGCTAGCAAACGTCAGACCAGTAAAATGAGCTCCATCTCTGTGGGAGTGTATGCGGGAGTACCATTTTAAGGTTTATGGCGAAAGGTAGGAAAAAGATGGGAAGACGAGGACCCAGAAGCATTAGAACGGAGTGGCGGAGAGCACTGAATATTGGTTGTGTGAGCGCAGGCTGCTAGAGGAAAAGGCGTTTAGGCAAGGAAAGTAAAACAAGCTCATGGAAAAAGGAATATCACTGCATACAGTAGTGGCACATCTGTATCACGAGTGTGTTGACAAAAGCTGTAAGATGCATCTTCTTGCGCCTCATTGTTTCCCCATACGTGTCAGGACAAGGGGGGGCTCGATTCCGCGCATCCCCAGTTCTGAGGACATGCTGTACAATACGGGAAAAACGCACAGATGACTCAAAAAGAGACAGGATTGGTATGAAATATTCAAGTTGAACGATGACGGTATGAAACAGCCAAAGAGAATACAGACACCACCACATTGTGTATTCCAGATTTGTGACTGAAATATCCGGAAAGCTTCGTCCGAGGAAATTAAGACAGTGTCATCCCTCGCTGAATACAACAAAGGCCAAAAGCATATGATCATGCTACCGTCAAGCGGCAATCGAATCAATGGTAACAGCTGCCACTATGGCCATCATCATCGGGCGCCGTATTAGGGTCTGGTGATAGGTGATATTTAGACTTGTAGTGAAACTGCATCGGGTGAAACCCAAAAAAGGCGGCGAAGGAGAGTGCGGAATGAATTTCAAGCCACATGACAGCACAGGTTAACATCGCTTGCCGTCGGTAGTAAGGTGTCAAACCGTCTGTCGTCCGCTATGATGTGCAGCAATGCCCCGAGACCCACCATGTGGCAATGACATCTGCCACCGTGAAATAAAAAGACACGGAAGACGGAATAGGCACTACAATGTGCTTTTTGTGGACTTGACCCATATGACAAGCGCAAGAGCCGACGTTGTGGTGGCTGAACACCTTGTCTGTATATGGCCCGAGAAGAAACAATTTGAGAAGGACAGCAGAGCGAAGAAATTTGTTGCATTATTTTTTTTCAGAAACAAATGCGGCGATAAACCCGAGACAAACGGACAATCACAACCATGAAAGATACTGAGCAGCAAAAGAGTCAAAATAGAAACCGGAGCACAGCGGCCTCCGTGAGAGAAATCACCCGGGGAATGAGACGTCGTGTGATAGTTTGAAAAGCCTAGCACTGGTCCGGATCAGCATCCGCGATCGCCTATTGTCTTCGGCAATCGCTGACTCTCCGTAACAAAAGCAAAATAAGGATGGAGTGAGACTGAAAACTGCGCAAACGGGACACAAGGATTGTACATCTGAAAAATGCGTTAATATGGGAAAGGGATGGGCAGAATGTGTGCCAGACGTGTCAAAGTGCTGGCGCCAACGTGACGGGAAAAAAATCAGTAAAAGAAAACGGAATGAGATCAATAAAAGCAAGGTCAAAAGAAAAACTAATCAACGCCGAGAAAGAGAAACTAAGGAGTAGGCAGCAGAGGCTAAGACAGCAATGTCGCTCGGCTGCTCGAATTTTGCAGGGACTGGCTGCTTACCGAGGTGAATTGTGCTACCATACACTGCAGTATGCGGAGGAGAACAAGTCTGGATTAGGACTATCCCAGTGACCACAAGAATCAAAATGACTGCCTCGCTGCCTAATCGGTGCGCACCATGGCAGTATTGACGTCCTTGGGCATCCAAATGTTTTAAGCAGCCAGCACGTCGAGGTGTCCGGTCTCAGTGGCGATGGCCTGGAAGCAAATGAAACGATACTTCGCCTCGCATCTCAGCAAAAAGCAGACGTGATACCTGCGTCTGCTGTTCTCAGCTTGAGACCTGTTTGCCACAGCTCTTGCAATCTGCAGTCTTCCAAGGTGTACAAGACGATGGTACGTTGGTCAGGCCTAGACACATGTTTTGCCGGCCCTCCGACCAACCGGATGTCTCCGCGTCAAGACATCAGCTTTGCCAGCTAGGCGTCTTTTGTGTCAAAGGCCGTGCATCGCTTGTCTAGAGCGACGTAGAGGGCAAGAGCGGATGGGGAGAAACGTTGTGTCGCGTGCTCCGTGTATGCGGGTGCGTTTGCGTCCGCAGGGCATTAGCAAAACAGGGCTAGATCTTGCATGCTCGCGACGACGATGGCCTGTTCCGCGATAGTCAGGGAGGCAAAAAGGCAAGCCCAATTATCGAACAAGAGACGATGCGTGCCACGGGGTCAACGACAGCCGCACGAAATGCAGGTGTCATCGTGGTCCATGACAAGAAAGCATCGTGCAGAGGGTCGGTGGATTGTCGGTGGATTGCGGGCGCGACTGTCCACGAAACGGGTCTTCAGCAGAGTGATCAAAGACAAATAGAATATGGAGATAGATGACAGGAGACATCTCGTAAATCGAGAAGTGACAAAAGTCGACGGAAGGAACCATCAAAACAACTGCCGTTGGAAAGCGCGACTATCCATCGCCAGTAGTGCCTGCCTTCTTGAGCCGTTTACTTCAGGGTGGCACCTGCCCTGTATTAACTGCTGTCGCTCAGGGGAAACAACAAAGATGACTAATTTTGGCGAGGAGGAGGATGTGCGCCCCACATTCGTCGTCCTTACGAGCCTACCTTTTGTCTCACCGCCCCTCTTTGGCAGCTGCAATTCTGCCGTGGGACCAGACAGCAGCAAAAGGTGTGCTTCAGGAGTGACGACCGGCTTCGCTCATCTCCACGATTACCAAACACCGCCTCGACTCCCGCCGTATTGTCGCTACCCTTACGTCGTGAGCATACCTTGTTTGTGGTCTGCACTGCCGCATTCTCAACCACCTCGCTCCTCCACAACTCTATTTGCACCCTTGCATCACGTCGCTTTGGTCACTGCCAGCTTCGTCGAGCCATCGCCGCCCGGCCCTTCCGGCCTCCTTGTCCTTCGACCGCCTCGACACGCCCCCTGGTCCAGTTGTACAACCCCTCGTGCTGTCACGATGCTGTCTGGCATCCTCATCTTCAACCAAAAGGGCGAAAACCTCATCTTTCGCGCCTTCCGCAACGACTGCCGCCCGCGGCTGGCGGATGTGTTCCGCATCCAGGTCATATCGAACCCCCAAGTGCGATCGCCTATCTTGACGCTCGGCAGCACAACATTCAGCCATGTCAAGCACGAGAACATCTACCTGGTGGCCATTACGAAGAGCAACGCGAATGCGGCACTCGTGTTTGAGTTTCTGTACCGCCTGATCGCGCTCGGCCGCGGCTACTTTGGCAAGTTCGACGAGGAAGCGATCAAAAACAACTTTGTGCTCGTGTACGAGCTGCTGGATGGTAATTGCTCCCCACCTCTTTTTTTTTCTTTTTTCTTTTCTCTCTTCTTGCATTGTTTTCCATTCGCTGTGGTGTGTTGCGCCGTGCTGCGCTGCAGTGCGTCCTTGTCTGCTGTCACTGTCTCGCGCGTCTGGCCTTTTTTCCGTGTTCCGGCGCATCCGCCGCTGGCATGGGACGTATTGGATTCATGGACTGACACTACCTATTTTGTTTCGCAGAGATCATCGACTTCGGCTACCCCCAAAACACCGAGACCGACACGCTCAAGATGTACATCACGACAGAGGGCGTCAAGTCCGAACACCGCGCCGAGGATTCGGCCAAGATCACGATGCAAGCAACAGGCGCACTGTCGTGGCGCAAGGCCGACGTCAAGTACCGCAAGAATGAGGCGTTTGTCGACGTGATTGAGGACGTCAACCTGCTCATGTCGGCAACGGGTGCCGTGCTCCGCGCCGACGTGACGGGCCAGATTGTGATGCGCGCGTACCTGTCGGGCACGCCGGAGTGCAAGTTCGGCCTCAACGACCGGCTGCTGCTTGACTCGGACACGGTGCAGTCGCTTCCGTCGGGCAACCGACAGGGCAGCAAGGCGACGAAGGCGGCGGCGGGCAGCGTGACGCTGGAGGACTGCCAGTTCCACCAGTGCGTCAAGCTGGGCAAGTTTGACTCGGACCGCATTATTTCGTTCGTGCCGCCGGACGGCGAGTTTGAGCTGATGCGCTACCGGTCGACGGAAAACGTCAACTTGCCGTTTAAGGTACACGCGATTGTCAACGAGGTGGGCAAGACCAAGGTCGAGTACAGCATTGGCGTGCGCGCCAATTTCGGCCCAAAGCTGTTCGCCACAAACGTCATCGTGCGCATTCCGACGCCACTCAACACGGCTCGCATCACGGAGAGGTGCACACAGGGCAAGGCCAAGTACGAGCCGTCGGAGAACAACATTGTGTGGAAGATCAGCCGGTTCACGGGCCAGTCGGAATTTGTGCTGTCGGCCGAGGCTGAGCTGACGAGCATGACGAACCAAAAGACCTGGAGCCGGCCGCCCCTGAGCATGGACTTTAGCCTGCTGATGTTCACGAGCAGTGGCCTGCTGGTGCGGTACCTCAAGGTCTTTGAAAAGAGCAACTACAGCAGTGTCAAGTGGGTGCGGTACATGACGCGTGCGGGCAGTTACGAGATAAGGTGAGTTTATCCCTGTTGGCCAGGCTCTGGAATCCTGCTCGTCGTCGTGTGCGCCTACTAACTTTTCAGATTCTAATTACGTTTTGTGTTTATGGTGGCATTTTATGGTGTTATTGATTTTGTGTACTTTGTTTGCATTCTCTTTCTTGGACCTGTGACAGCAGGTTTGGAGGTCCAGTCTGTCATGTCATCCACACCATTATTTTCAAATTCATGCGACTTTTCCGACCTCCACGTGCTGTTATCGTCGCCCATTTCCGGCGGTCTTATGTACCGGTTGAAAAGCAGAATAATATGTACATTCATTTTTTTGTTTTGTTTTCCCTTTTCTTCTGGATTTCGGCCTCAATTCCCTTCCAAGCGTCATTGACTCATTTGAATTGGTCCACCGGGAAGTTGTCGGCCAGGTGCTGGTAGCCAGCCACGTTGGGATGCAGGTGGTCGCCGCTGTCGTACTTGCTCGCCAACCGGTCAGGGCTCGACGGGTCCGCAAGCAGTTTGGCAAAGTCAACGGTACCGTCGTAGGCGCCGCTCGTCAGGATCCAGTCGTTGACCTTCTTGCGGTTCGCCTCATGGTTGCCGCCCGCATAGCTGTTGCCGCCAAACGGTGTGATGGTGGCGCCGTACACCTTGAGACCGGCGGCCTTGCAGTCGGCAATGATGGTCTTGAAGGCACTGATGAGCGAGTCCCCGTTGGCGTTGGCGCCAATGTCGTTGACGCCCTCAAAGATGAAGACGTACTTGACGCCCTGCTGCTGCAGCGCGTCACGCTTGTAACGCTGCATCAGCGGAGGGCCGAGGCCGCCGTTCAGGACGCAGTTACCGCCGGCGGCCTCGTTGTTGACGCCCAGGTTGGTGATGCCGGCCTTTTGCAGCTTGGCGAGCACCAGGTCGGGCCAGCGGTTGTTGGCATCGTCGGTGCTGCCACGGCCGTCGGTGATGCTGTCACCGAGGATGATGAGGGCGCTCGTGTTGGCCGGCGCCCAGGCCTCGACGGCGTTGACATAGTACCAGTGCTTGGTGCTGGCGCCGGTGACGGTGGTGGCGTTGAGGTGCTCGCCCGACTGCATCCAGGTCGACGTGCGGCTGCCCGGATGGCCGGTAATGCTGCTTCCAGACTGGCCGCCCTGGAGATAGAGGTTGACGGACAGCATGGACTGTGGGTCGACTTTGTAGTCGATGGGGTCCGAATAGGCGATCTGTCCCTTGGGGACGTTGACGCCCGGTTTGCCGCCAAAGGTCAAGGCTGCCAAAGTGGCCGGGTCGATGGCATTGGAGCCGACTTTGCCGCCCTCTGGCAGAGCGACGGACGCCGAGGTGATGGACAGGTCGCTACCACCAAATGTGTTGGAGAGCTGCACACGGATCCGTGGCGCGCCGATGGAGATGTGCACTGTCTGGCGGATCGTGGCGTCCTTGAAGGTTGCGCCGCCACCGGTCTATGTTTGTCAGCGATGCTCAATTTGCACCTAACCAAGTACTTAAGCGTCAACGGAGACATTGTGGACTACATACAAAGGCAGACGGGGGCATGTTGCTCTGCTCTACCAGCTGGGGCATCGATGTCCATGTGTCGACCCAGTGGCCTTCGTCGGCTTCCAATGTCGGCACCGCTCTGACCGGATTGCCAAGCAGCAACAACGGCAGCAGAAATGAAAAGCAGAGCTCCGCAAAGGACGACGGCGCCATGTTGAAGTCGAGTGGGTGGAAACCCTGTTTACTTTCGAGAACTCTGGCCGATATATTCGATACGCCGCCGAGGAGTGACGCTGGAACGGTATAAAGAGACAGGCACGAGCAATTCTCTTGGCAGTCGCTGGCAGGTTGTGCAACCTCGGCTCTATTTATCAACTTTCATGGCATCGGTTGTGTGAGATCATCGCCGTAGCTGGATGTAGGAAACGGACTACGTTGACGTAGCGACGCAGCGACGCCCATGAGTGACGGAAAATCATCGCCCGTTCTTTGGAACCGCCTCTATGAACGAATGGTGCTTATATATTGGCTTGCATATTCATTAAGGTACTGAACCAGAGCTGCGGGGAGGGACGACGATAAAGCGTAGGGACAGGTGGGAAATTCATATTAGCCACGGGACATGCAAACGAAAGCCCGCAATCAGCACCACTTTACCGAACAGATTTCCTTTCCCGGGCACCGCTCACCGCTCTATTACCCCGATTCTCTTTTATCCAGAACAATACGACGTATGTCGCGCACTCACAGCGATTTCTCGTGTCGCTTGGCACATATTTTGCGGCTTCGTGGCTGGACCGAAATAAGCGCTTTAGCTACCGAGCTCGTTGTGTTACGTTTATTATTTCATCGCGAACTGTTCGCACGCGATACCAGCCAGTCGGATTCCATATCTGCGGGCACGAAGACAGCAACATCGGTGCCTTGAGCCTGCCCTACGTCTCAATAGAAATGATAACTTGTCTGAAGCCAAGCCGCGTCTCTGGTTCGTTTATTTGCACGTCGACCATGTTTATGATCGTACTGTTAGTCCCCGCTACATTTATTCCATCTCTAAGGTCAATCATCTGCTCGCATTGTACAATTCCATCCTTTAACCAAGCTTCATGTACAACACCGCTACCCACTCACTATGTTTGGCGTCACATCGTTTTGTGATCAAGGTACACATCCCGCGTGGAAACATGCTCCACAACCATCAATGATACGAGTTACTCTATTACTTTGTGCTGCCGGTTGCCATCACCGTAATCCGTGATGCTTGTGTGCATAAGTCACCATTACATGTCCAACAGATAAAACCATATCAAGCGCCAAGTACAGACTTATTCAGCTTACATGTCTCTCAGTCTTTGGGAAAGGGTAAGAAACTAATGGCGCCGTTGATGTGATGCTGTCCATCGTCGTTTATTTCTGGCACCGATACACTCATAATCAAAATTGTAACTTTGTCTGTCCAAGACCGCTTCCCGTCTGTTCTCTGTGCGAACTTTGCAGCCGGACTTGTGACCCAACGCCTGTTCACGGTGACAAGACGTCCCCCTCTCATTCACTGTACCGCGACGCAACTCTCACAAGTTTCCATCCGGAATCATGCCCTGCTGTTTTCCTCAACTTTTATCCATCCATGACCAGCGTTTTGAATTTTCATTGACTGCAATGCATCACCAAGCCTTTTCCTGCACTTAGGACAGACTACTTAGGACAGAACGGAGCTCTCGCTCAGAACGATACGAACCGCTCCCGAAAATGACACTTCGCCGCAGTCAGTACCATCACCATGCCCTCATCCCTCTCTTGATTCTGGCTATCCTTGTCCTCTCCCTCCTGGCGGTGACCCTGGCGGGCCTATCCACGCGACCTTGGACCAGCCCGCCCGCCACAATCAAACGACTCTTTTACAACTCTGCCACCGCCAACAGCCTCCGTCATCACCACGATCATGGCCTACGAGCCCGACAACTGGCCATGGATCCACCCTCTGATGGCCTTCCTGCGCCGGGCCCCATCAACGCCACCAACATTGGCCATGGCCCCGGCGGCCCGCTGCTCGATGGACCCTACACCTACTACTGCGGCGTCTTCAACACGGGCATGCCCGCCACCATCCGCGCCGGCGCCATGAGTCTGCGCGCCATCAACATGACCTACTCGCTGCCGCCCGGCGCGTGCCAGCGCGTCTACTGCTACGACACAACGGCCGTCTACGTCTGCAACAGCAACAGCGACGACGGGCTCGCGCCCAACGTGACCATGACAGGCTACGGCGTGGGCTGGATGGCCGACCGGCTGTCGCTGCTGTGCTGCGACTCGCACCACGCGGCCTCGGCACAGCTGTTCCACCCCACGGCCGGCTGGAACACGGTGGTGGGCTATGGCAACTGCCGCCATGATCCGGCCGAGCCGCCGTCGTCCTTTGGCACCAGCAACGGCGGTGTGAACGGGTTCTGCATTCCGAGCGAGAGCCGACCCAGTCCAGGGACCGGCAGCGGTGCAGAGACGTGATGGAGTTGAGAAGGACAAAAAACAGTACCAAAGACACTTTACTTTAGGAGGCAATAGTCAAGGCGCATAGATGTATTTCTTACAGTTGATTTCTAATGCTCACAAATCCAAACTCAAAATTCAAGCCAAAATTCAAGCCAAAAGTCAAAACGCACCTGCTCCGTCTCGTCCGTATACAAAGATGTAGCATGGGTATCTTTCAAAAATGTAGTAAGAAAAACGCCTTCCACAAGCACCCTTCAGGTACTCCACGGGTCTTCGCCACTGTTCATGAGCGCCAGCCGCGCCCGCACCTCGGGGTCTTTCTCAATCTCCTGCCACAGCCCAACGTGCAGCCGGTCGGCCGGCATCTCGACGTCGTCCTCACCCTCACCGCGGCTGTCGTCTTCGGCGTCATTGTCGTCTTCGTACATGTCGTCGTCATCATACCCGGCAAACGCATCGCCATGGTCGCGGACACCAATTTCGCCCACAGTTGGGCCTCCACCTCCTACCACCGTTGTCGTCGTGCGAGCACCAAATGGCAGACGTCGCCGCAGTCGTGCCGTCCAAGACCGGACGCTAAACGGTTGCTTCTGGGTAGCGGCCTTGCACGATGGCGCCGCCGCCGCCGCCCGCCCCCAGAGACCAGCAATGGCCAGGTTGCGCTTGGCAGCGCGGTAGCCGAGCTCAACGACCGTGAGCACCGTCAACGTGATCAGGACTGTCGTCCACCACGACAGGTTGCGCCCATAGCCTGTAAAGAGACCGCCGCGCACGTCGTACGGCGAGGGGCTGGGCGTAAAGGCCAGGGCCAGGAAGATACACCACAGCCACCAACCGGCCACGGTAATGCCAAACCCGGCCAAGACCACGGCTGTCTTGTTATGTGCAATGAGGATGCTGGGGCGGGGGGGTTAGCCATGACATGCGCAAAAGCAGAACCACGGGAGTGGGGAGAGGGCAAAGACGTACAATAACTTGATGTTGGTCCACATAATGCACACAGAAAAGACCAGGTTGCCCAGTGGAAACAGGTTCGGGTCGTGCCCGTCCGCAAAGGCACCGTAGCCGGCCCAGCAGGTAAACCATACGAGGACACCCTGCGCCATGGCCACCAGCATCCAGCTGCCATAGCGCTTCGGGCTCAGCGCTTTGCCTTGTTGGCCGTACGCGTACAGCTCCGGCACGGCCATCAGCACGGCCGCGCTCAGATCCTGCTCAAAGATGCCCGGGAGAATGACGCACAGACTGGTAAAGAGCGTGTTGAGCACCGTCAAGCTCCAGCTCTCGTAGATGGACGTGCCCGTGTAGCCACAGTACCACTGGTAGGCGGCGGCGGGCGTGTAAAAGAACATTTCCTTGTAAAACGTCGACAGGATAAACTGCGCCGTGCGCACATAGTTCCAACGGCCGTGCACCAGCAGCAGCCGTGCCAAGAACCGAAACTGCGCAATGCTGTAGTCGGCCACCCGGGCCGCCTGCAGGCCCTCCTTGCCCGACACGCCAATGCCGACGTGTGCCTCGGCCAGCATCGCCAGGTCGTTGGCGCCGTCACCAATGGCCAGCGTGAGACCAGGGTGGTTCTTCTTGAGCGGGCCGTGGCGGATGCTGCGCACAAGCAGGGCCTTTTGGGCGGGCGAGGCACGACAGCAAATGACCGAGTCGACCGACGGGATGATGCTGTAGAACAAACTGTCCAGGTCCGGGTCGGCGCCGTTCAAGACATGCAGATGGTGGGCGGGTGCGGCCGCGTGGGCCTCTGCCTTCGAGGCGGGTTGCTTGGCCTCCTTCTTGCGCCTCTTCTTCGCCGCCTCAATGATGCCCAGCGTATGGCCGTCAATGACAACCACCGTATGGCCGCGCTGGCGCTGCTGTTGGCGCGCACTCGGGAGGGACGGTAGCGTCTGGCCCGACGAGAACGGCATGCGAATGACTTTGCGGAGAACACGGCCAGCACGGCCCAGCAGGGTTGACGGCCCAGCCTGGCCGGCGGCAACCATGGCCATGGCCATGTCGGCCTCGGGCAAGCCTAGGCTCTCGGCCACGTGGAGCAGCTGCCCCGCCAAATCACCCTTGCTCGCGTCGAGCACATAGATCGCCGAGCTTGGGCGGCACAGCCGGGCAGCGTGGGCAATGTTGATGGCGGTCTCGCGCTTGTCACCCGTGAGCATCCAGATCTTCACGTTGGCACGCCGCAGCGTGTCCATGGTCTCGGGCACGCCGGCCTGCAGCTTGTCCTCGATGGCGGACGCGCCAATCAGCTGCAAATTCTGCTCAATGGTTTCGGCGACGGCCTCGATGCGGGCCTGGCGGTCGTCGAGACTGGTTGCCGCTTTCAGGTAGCTGGTCTTCCACGCGGCATACTCCGCGTCCGACACGAGGCGGTGCGCAAAGAGGAGCGTGCGCAGGCCTTCTGCGGCGAACTCGTCCATGTGGCGGAAGCACTGGTCGAACATGCTACTTTCGTCGTCGAGAGCCTCAAGGAAGGCGGGCGTTTCGAGAAACGTAAATTTGTCGGGCAACGGTGACACACTTGTGTGCAGCGGGCTGGGCGTGTGTGGCGACGTGGGTGAGAGCAGCGGCCGCCGGGAGGGCCGCACACCCGACGTACTCGACCGCCGAAGCGCATCGGCATCGGTAACGAGGGCTGTCAGCGCAGGCGTGCGTACGTCAAAGGACGGTGTGCGGTGGCCGATGGAAGGCCGAAGACGGAAGGCGTCCATGGACCGGCGCGCGGTTCGCTGGATGTCGAAAGAGCGGCTGCGGTCAGCGCTGTGTCGAGCGCTGCTGCCAATGGTGGTAACGGTCACATTTTTAAAGCCGACAGACTTGTCCTTTTCGCCGCCACCGGTACCACCAGTCCCGCCAAGCTTGTCGCGGTAGACGCTGCCGCCAATGCTCCGCCGAATCGTCACGCTAGCCGGCCCGCCGAAGCTGCTGCGCGGCTCCCATTGTTCGCTCTTGCGCAGCAGGGCGCGTTCGAGATCGGCGCTTTGACGCACGTTTTGCGCACGCTGCAGGGCCAGGGGGGCCATGGTCAGTCGCGGCAGGACCATGGAGTCGGCGCCCTTGCATATGAGCCACAGACGGCCGTCGGGGCGGCGTACAACAATGGACATGCGCTTGCGCTGGCTGCTGAACTCGATGACGTCAACCACCTCGTACGTCTCTTCACGGGGCGCCTCTCCATTGTCGTCGTAGGCCTGCGGGTTGTACGTGAAGCGCAGCGTGGTGGACGATGCGGTCTTGCGGACGACAAGGAAGCCGAGCTCTTCGGCGGCACGAACCAGGGCCAGTTCGTCGGGCGAGGAGGCCTGGAAGCCGACAACCTTGCCGTCCTTGAGCTCTGGTAGGCACGTGTGGCACAGAGCCATGGCGAGAATGTAGGTGACGACCTTGGTGGAGAAGGGCGCAGACGGACGAAGGCGCACGTATTCGAGTAGGTCGGTGGTTGTCAGTTCTGGTTGGGCGTGGTCCGGGCGGGCCGATGACCGCCAGTGAGACGAGGAGCGCCGATTGGATTCGGCGGATACACGCTGTGCCTGGCTGTTGGGCTCGACAGGCGGTGCAAGAAACTGCGAGGGTGTTCGAACCGGGCCCGCAGGGCGGCTGTCCGTGGACGGCCGAGGCGACGGCAATGGAGACGGGCGTTGTGATGAGTGAAGCGAGGGACGGGGCGACGCAACAACGACACCGCCGGCTTCGTCGCGATGCTCCTGGCCGGCCTCAGTCACTCCAGCGCCCGCCGTCTCTTCGACGTCAATGTCGGCTTCATGCAGCCAAGACGTGCCGGCGACGCTCATCTTGCGGAACTGCATGACGTTTTCCGTGAGGGTGCCCGTCTTGTCGGAGAAAACGTAGCCAATCTGGCCCAGGTTCTCGAGGATGGTGTTGGTGTTGCAGCGGGCCGGTGTATCGGACTTGCTGTCGTACATGGCGCAGTCGGCGTTGACGAGCATCATTTGGCCAAGCTTGACAATCTCGAGACTGACGTAGAGCGCGAGAGGGATGACGTTGTTGAACTGGATGGCAAAGCCCAAAATAATCTCTTGCGCGGGCACAGCGACCATGCTAATGTACCACGAATGGCGCTCGACCTTGCGGCGCCACAGATAATAACCGATGGAGCAGCCGGCGGCAAGCAGGACGACGAAAGCGGCCAGCAACAGGACGATGCCGTTGGTGACGCGCTCCAGAGCAGGCTTCTTGGCGCGCGGGTGGCGGTTGGCGTTCATACGAATCTTGCACTCCTCGCCGGTGTTGAGGACAAGGCCGATGGCGCAGGGCGTATTGCGGAGAGTGCTGCCGCGGTAGATGACTTCCGCGAGCGTAAGAGGAAGCGGCACAGGCGGCGCGTCGTCGTTGTCGTCGGGGGCGGAGGTCAAGATGCGGCCATCGAAGCGGTACAGGTCGGGGTTCGGATCCTCGACCACAAGTTCCGCCTGTGTGTTGACCAGCCCGGCAATTGTTGCACAGCGCCCGCCTGCCAGTGGCGCCGGTACCTGCTTGCTCTTGAGGTTTGTCTCTCCGTCAAGGGCCATGGTCTCAACATAGGCCAGTCCGCCTTCGCCGTCGGCGTGTAGCAGCAGCAGGTCCGCCGGCACCTCCTCGTCACGGGATAGACGCACCACGTCGCCCACGCGAATGTCCCGCCACTGGACATGCTTCCACTGGAAGCCGCAGCTTGCTTCGCCATCTACGCCGCCGAGGACACGGCCGTCTTCGCGGGGAGGCACTTCGCGGAAGATGCGTCGGGCCAGCCACGCGCCGACGGGCACAAGGGAGAGACGTTTGCGCCGTCTCTGGCGTGCTTTGGCCGCAGCCTCGGCAGCAATCGCCGCTTTCTCTGTTCGGGCTGCCGTCTCGTCCTGGTTGTCGCTGTAGTTCTCGCCCTCGCCCTTGGTTCGTCGCAAGACAGTGGCCAGGCCGGCGTTCTCGACCTTGTCGAGGCAGTAGCGCTTGTAGTCATCGTAGCCCTCCTTGACCACAGTCAGGAGTACAAAGAAGAGCAGCGGCAGGATGGTCGTAAAGTTGCCTGTGGTGCTGATACCCGGGATCGTCTGGGGAATGCCGACACACAGGAAATAAAAGTTGCCGACTCGCGTGAACTGGAACAGCAACTGCTTGGGGACGAAGTTGAGCACTGTATAGCGCGATGTGCGGATTGCGTTGGACAGGTAGCCATGGCCGCGGCGGACGTCAACAAGGTGCGGCGGGCGCGCTGGGTCGGCGGCGAGCTGCAGAGGAATGTGACGGCCGTCGGGCGATGGATGCAGGATGACTTCGCGCAGGAGGAGATCGAAGACGAGAAAGCACCAGAGGCGGCGGACGGCAGCAGCAGCGGATGCGACAAAGGCGATGGGGGGCACGTGCTGTGGTGGGCTGGTCGCGGTTGCTGTTTCGGGCGATGTGTTGTTGTGCTCTTCTGCAGCGGCCGCGCCTGCCTCGGCCAGAACAGCGGCTTCCACGGCGCCGCCGTCTTTGGTGCGGCTCATGTCAACGGTGGTCGGCAGGCACGAAAGGAAAGCATCGGGACAAGAGATGAGGCAGGTGCGACGGTGATGTGGTTCGTGACAGTTGTTCTGGAGATGAGTAAAACGAGCGACTCGAAACGCTGGCTGAACGAGTGACTGGTCGAATGCGACCGAACGAAAGTGGATTGAGAAAACAAAAACAAAGAAACATGAACAGAAATAGAATATGAAAAATGAAACGGAAAGGAACACGAACAGGAGTACACGACCAGGAGACAGCAAACGAGTGACTGGGCGCAACAAAGTACAGCAAAACGACAAGGATCCTAAATGCAAAATGAACAGAGTGGCCGTCATCCGCGCCTGCTCCTCTCGCCTCTGTTGTCTGTTATTCTCTGCTGTTTTAGGTTGCCTTTGGTGGGTTTCGTCTAAACAGGTTTAAAGCAGAAGATCCAGGCCGCGTGTTCGGGGCGTCATCCTGCCGCTAAAAGTTGGGTGGACTGGGATGAGCCGGGGGACGGCCTGGCATAGTAAGCCACTAAGAGCCAATGGCCACCCACTAAGCGCAGGTGCGTGCCCTGTCGCTGTCGGCCCATCGCTGCACCCACTACACAGCACAGTTGCAGAGGCGCAAAGTCTCCACTAAATTGTTAGTGGCTGTGCACTAGAAATAGAAGCGCCTCCACGCCAATACGAGTCGTCGGTCCGTCTTGCAGGCTCGGCAGGGTCTTGTCACTCAGCAGCATGCGACACGCCAGCTGTTCTTTTGTTGACATTACGAAGAGCATTCGCTTTTCTTTGTTCCGTTGTATTGACGTGATGTCACGGCGAGAGTTGTTGTTCTCCAGCATTCCTCGCAGACATTGTGTCTCGCTTTGGTCGTGACGTTTGCCCCGACGCTTGTGCGCCAATCTTTTCCTTTTTCTCTTGCCTTGTCTTTTTCCTTCCACTCCTGCCCCCCGTGTCTCGGCTTTGCGCCCATTTTGCATTGCTTCCCTGTTGTTGGCCCACGTGGAGCGCAAGCGCGGCAATACGACTTGACTATCACCAGTTTTGCCAGGCCGATCGACAGGGCATCGCCTGGAAAACAGTGGCGTTTCTAGCGTCTTCAGTTGAGTTTGCTTGTCCTGGGGCGCCCCAACAAGCCGCCTAGGCCTGGATCGCACCCTAGCGCCACTTGTCCCGCATCTCCAAATAGCCTCTTTCCAGGCTCAACGGCCCGTGTTAGTAGAAAGACTGCCGTGGCCTCATATGTCTTGCTCTCCTCGCCGCCTTGCAAATCGTCATGCGGAAATGTGTCTGCGTTCTACGGCGCAATTGGGCAGCCATCCAAGCAAGGGACAGCCCACAGGTGTGATCGCGTTGCATAGACCGCTGTCAGTCTCGGCAGTTCATCCCAGACTTGGCAATATTTACACAGCTACCCACCCACAAAATAAACATCGTGATGCGATCCGAGGACACGAGGCTGGTCCAGGAGGTCAAAGGAGCGCATTTAATAGGCTGTACGATGCTGTGTAGTCAGGCGTCAAATCACCGTGGTTGCTGCAAACTCGCGGACCGTCGCCCACCCTCGGGAACAAGCTTTTCGGACCCAGTTGTTTATTTTCCTGTGCTGCAAGGAGCCGTTGTTCATATCCAATGCTTATGCACGTTGTCAGCATCAATGCCGGGTATTGGGCGACACGGCTAAAAAATTATAGCATCAGCTGGCCACAGTGTACCATCAACATCAATCTCATGACTTGCGATGCGCATGATACTATTAATTTCGGTCGATCGAGTGTGCATCGCGACTGGCCAGTTAAATACCATAAACAAAACAATATTGTAAAACGAAGGCCGAATCCGACAAATCGTCACTATCGTAGGTGGGCTGCTGGACACACTTCCAGTCTCGCGCAGTAAACTATGGGGGTATAATGTCAAAGGACTACACATGGCTACACATGTCATTCTCTCACACCCTATTCTTCTTCAATCTCTTCTTCCACCTCGTCCTCCTCTTCGACGGCATCGTCTTCGGCGAACGGGTCAATCTCCTCCTCTTCCTCCTCGTAGACCTCGTTATCGCCCGCATCGTAGTCATCCTCGGCGTCAGCAGTCTTGTCCGCATCAGGGCCCTTGGCTGCGCCACGCACACCATCCCCTTCCTCTTCCTCCTCGTCACCCATAACACTGCCGATCGAGCTGCCCGCCCGGCTCTGTGAGTAGCTGCTGAACATGGACACCGAGCCAGCCCGGCTGCGCCCGCTCGCGGGACGGTCCAGCATCTTCCGCATGGCTTCGTAGTTGATCCGCTTCGAAAAGCCGCGCCGCTCCATGGCCTCGACCGCCGCCGCGCCAGGCGTCGATGCAGGCGTGATCTGGCCTTCCCCGATCTTGGGCTTCTTCAGCCGCCGCCGGGTCTGCTTCTTGGACCCGTTGGCTGCCGCAATCTTGGCGCGGAACTCCTTCTCCTGGCGCATGCGCAGGTACGCACGGTTCTCGTTCATCCAGATCTTTTCCTTGGCTGCCGCCTCCTCTTCGGACAGCAGACAGAACTGCACCTCGGGATCGTCCTTGAACTCGTCCTCCTCGACGTCGGGGCTGTCCGACACGGCGGGTGGCTGCGGTTCGTCCACTTGCTCGTCGGCACCCGAGGGAGCAGGTGTGCCGGCCTCACTGGCCGCGGCCGACGCTGGTTTGGACGGCGCGCGGCCCATGCCGATCATAATGCGCTGCGCCGCTTGTTCGGCGCTGGCAAACGCACGGGCGTGTTCAATGCAGCCGGGTGAGTTGATCGCCTCCGTCATCTCCATCTCCAAGTTCTCCTCGTCTGCGCGCCAGGCGTCGTCGACGTAATCGGGATCGTCCTGGCCGCCACGGCTACCAGACGAGACGGGCAGCGTGCGGCAGGATGAACCGTCGGGAGGACCGCGCCGACGCTTTCGAGGTGTGTCGTCGGTGGCATCCGAGCCAGGGAAGGGCGAGCCCATGCCGGAAAGCGGCGTCATAGCTGCATCTGCACCGTCGCCATATTGCTGAACAAGTTCGGCGAGCTGATCGTCTTCATCTTCGGCTTCGTTGGTGTTTTCGATCGTGGGAGTCGGCACTGCAGGGGACGTCGGTTGCTTGGATGGCGGCAGGGCCGGAACGGCAAAGCCATCGGCATCAACCACCTTGGGTGGTTGGGGTGCGGCACCCGGCGTGCTAGACACCGACACAATCGAGCCGTGCCGCTCCCCAGCCTCGGTTGCGCGCGAGTCGCCGCGCTTCCGCTTCAGCATCTCACGCTTCTCCTTGAGCTTCGCCTGGTACTCGTCCGATTTCTTGTAAATGGAGGGTGGGTCGTATTCCTCAGTCAGGAAATCGTGAGCCAGAAACTCTTCGACTGTCATCTTGGCCGACGGCAGTTCTTTGAACTCGTCCAGCCGCATCTGCAGCGTTGCCATTGTGACCTTGGCAATGTACACCACCTCGCGTACTGTGCGTCGGAAATTGAAGATGCGCGCTGCCATGATCAAGCAGGCACCGCAAATGCCAGCCGGTCGCCGGCCCATGACCATCCAGTCGCGGTCCATGCGCTGCACGAGCCGCACGGCCGTCTCGGCCACCTTGTTGGTCATCGTGTCGAACTCGAGCTTGGACGCAAACCGGAAAATCAGGTCCTCCACGTAGATCGGCTGCACATCGCGTGCGGCCACCTCAATCGTCTGCAGCAGCTTCTTGAACGTGCGGCCCAGGAAAAACACCTCTTCCTTGACCAGGTCCGCCAGGTCGATCAGCATGATCTTGCACGGGTTCGCGTGCGTCGACTTGCGGCACGCGGCGTACAGGCAGACGGCCACCACGTTCTGGATCTTGCGCCCCTGCACAAAGTTGGCGCTGGACGCCAGCTTGTAGTACTGGAAGCCCACGTTGACGGTGTGGTCGGGAATGTGCAGCTGATGCGCATACCCCGTCATCAGCAAGCGGGCTTCGCGCAGGGACCGCTCGCGCGCCTCGGCCGAGCCGTTGCCCGCCACACGCCGGTGTCCAATGCCCGCCATCGGCCGAATGCCGCCCTGGTCGGCGCCCAAAAAGCTGCCCTGCACCACGGCCGCGCCCTGTGCGTTCTCGCCAAAGGACACCTCGGCCACAATGTTGCTGTCGTCGGCAACCCGACCACATGTCCGGCATGTGCCGTCGACGACATTTGGGTTCTTGCAGGCCTTGTTGGGGCATTGCAGCCGTGACGAAGAGGCCGCTGCGCCCGTGCCCGTCGGCCCTGTCGGTTTCGGCGAGCCAGCGTCGCTAACAACGCTCCCCGCCCGCGAGTTCGAGGCAGCCGCCGCTGCAGCAGCCAGTTGTTTGCGTCGCCATTCCCGGTCCTGGATGGCTTTGATGGGGTTTACTCGCTGAGCACCACGGGGTCGGATCTGGTGCCCAGACGAAAATTTCTTCGGCAATGTCGTCAGAGGAGTCATTTTGTCTGTGGTAAGGGCTCGAGAGAGGTGTGTGACGAGATTTTGGTCGGAGTAGAATGTCGAGGAAAAGCGATGTCGAGAGATGCCTATTGAAGGACAGCAATGTCACTTTTTTAGATTTTGTTTGTCGGGTTCCTCGCCAGGGCTGTCGCCTGCTTGAGGATCAGTCGGTCGTCGTTAAAAAGAAAAGGAAAGAAAACGCGATGCCGCGATCGTCCGCGGTCTGGAATGAGCGTGTTCCAGTCTGTTGTTATGTTGCGTTTGTTGTAGAACTTCCTGATTTGGGAAACGAGGCAAGGTAAGGGACGTTGTGTTGTTTGAGTTGGGCAAGAGAGAATTTTCCACAATTTCCGACGAAGAGGGCGGGGCCTTTTTCCCAGAAAATGTCCTCATGGCCGAGTGGGAAGAGGCAAGGACCTGGATGTTAAATTCTAAAAAAGTGGGGCCATACATGTTTTGGTGCAATTATGGTGGGAGACGAGCACGTGACATTTGTCACCATCCGCGAGGTTGGCCGTTCGATTTTAGGCAGCCGCGTCTTTTGCACCAATTTTAGTACATAGTTACGATGCGAGGCAACGACATGTAAGTGAAATTTATGGATTTTTTTAATGATTTGCAGTAAATAGCTTTCGGTCAGCTTTTTCACATAATAGTCTCGTCAAGTTCATACTTTTTAATTCGTACTTGCACATTATATTTTTGGAATTTGATAGCCGTATGTTTTCTTATTTCTTATTTCTTATTGATGTATTTTTAACCAAAGAAAAAAGAAACTTCATCCACTTTGTAATTTGTCACTAACGTCTTATTTTTCTATGACACAGGGCTTTAAGAAAAACCTTTTGTACACATCTTGATTCAAGATTTGATCAATATCACAGAGCAACAAAGTTTGGCGAAGAGTGGGTTGTATTGTCTAAGGAAGTAAATATAAGAACAATTTTTTGGCCGTCTGTCGGCAAGGCAAATTTCGCTGGAAGAACAGACAAAATTGCACCTCCCAGTCCTCACCGTTCCCTCTTCTCAGAAGAAACATTCCGTCCATGTAGTGAACAAAAAACAAACGCCGCTGTGCCAGGTTGCCCCGTCTTTTGCAGCCTCTTTTGTTTGCTCAATGTCCCGTACCGTAGATATGTCCAGAGAAACATAAAACCAACCATCAAGGCCAGCGATATGCAGGACGCCCAGATCTACTGTTCAAGGTAGGGGATGAAGAACAAAAGGCCACCAAAGACGTGTAGTTGGGAAAAACGGCCAAGACAGCGACCAAGACGGAACAAGAACAAGCGAGGACCTCGTCCAGAGGCAATTCCTCATGGCTCTTGCCTTTTTTTTATTGGGAGATGATATGATGAGATAAAACACAAAGGAAATATTAAAAGAGTGTGAGAGGCAGCCCAATCACAAGAAAGGGCAGGACGTGGCTAGGAGAGAGAGCAAAGACATGGGCTGGGTCTCTTCCTGAGAGAAAAAACAAAGAGGGTAAAGTGGCAAGAAGGATAAGAAGGGAAACGCAAGAGGACAGTAAAATGCAAAATTTACAGAAAGTGCACAGAGAATTGGGACAGCCATGACACTTTCCACTGCCCCCGAAAGAGCAGCCTTTCCAAGCACACGCATGTCAACACAGCACCCCCCTGCGAAATCGAAATCAAAACCAAGACCACCACTCTTCTTCTCATCTCGCACCCAGCAAAACCATCTCACGCTCGAAAGAAGCAAAGAACACCGCGTTTCCAATAATACAAATACAAAACCTGCATGGAAGAAAACATGAAATGGAGAAGAGAGCAAAAATACAAAAAAGTCATCAGACCAGTAGCGCCAACCTTGCAAAAACAGAAAGTGAAGACAAAAGCAGTAATAAAACAGTCATGGCTCCCAAATGGTGTTTCCAATCTGATGACAAGCCCGTTCTTTGTTTTTCGTTTCGTCTTCTCCACCCTAGTTTTCGAACCAGCATTCGGAGATGCGTGTATTTTCGGACGTTGGTGGGATGTTCCATCCGGAGACGAGGGACGGCCGTTGTCGGGAGTGTTGCAGGAGAGAATGAAGGGCAATGCACAAAATCAAGGCAGTTCCAAAGGCGCAGATAAATGACCTGCTCGATGCTGGCGAGAAAAGCAGAATAAAACAGGGAAAACGCGAAGGCCGTGCGGAAACCCAAACCCGAAACCCAAGCTGAGAGATGCAAAAACTGCGCTCTCTTGGCATCGTCCGTTCGCAAAAGAGCCATCAAGGCCTCGTCCCAGCTGCCGGACTCTTACCATTTATTAAGAATCCGCGGAAACAAAACCCACGCAAATACAATCTTTCGGTCCTTCGGCGAATTCAGAAAATAGGTCGATGCCAGACCATCTTTTTTTTTTTCTTTTTTGTACTTGTCGACTGCATTGCTGGTATATGTTGTCTTTTGTTTTTGTGTTTTTCCGCAAATCTGATCAAATCAAAAACCAAAATGATAAAAAGACGCCGTGGAGAGAAAAGGAGCGCTGGAAACCTGTGGGGAATAATTGTCATGTCGTCGTTAAAAACTTGTTTGAAACAAAATAGTTGGAATGAGCTTGAAAAATGGAAAACCAAGGATTTTGCTGCAGGGCATGCAAAACCAGAAAGTGTCGCCGTTCAGATCGTCTTGGGCGTCCGGGCGTTTGACGCATCAATGACGTCGTCAAGGTGGTTGCACATGGCGACGAACAGGTCGAAGAACAACTTGCCGCCCTCTCCACTCTTCTCCATCTCGGCCTGCATCGTGCCGCTGCGCTTGAAGGTCTTGCGGCAGCGGATGATCAGTGCCAAGTAGTGAGCCCGTAGGCGGCTGTCGGAGTCGGGGGTGTGTGCGTAGCAGTACTGGGCACTCCGCAGAATGGTACCGACGTCGATGCCACTCTGCAGGCCTTGCTTGCGCAGGGCGAGGCGCTTGAGCTCCTCGAGCCCGTACCGGTCCGCGGCACAGTAGATGACGGTGTCCCGGAGCAGGTGCTGGCCCTCACTCGACAGGTACACGGTGGCCTCGACCGACGGGACAGAGCCCGTGTAGGGCGAGCTGCCTGGGGTACGACCAACTCCGTGAAGGTGGCTCAAATCGGGGGACGCGTTCGGCGTGGTCCCGCGATGGGGTTGCTGCGGTGCGGAGTCTTCGAGCTCCCAAGAGTTGCGGTGCTTGCTGTGCAGCAAGCGGGGGTAGTAATCGCCCTTGTAGAGGTACTCCAACACGGCAGAAAAGATTTCTGGCTCCTCGTCTGGCAGCGCGATCCGTCTGCCGTTGACTCCGGACGGGTCCGGACTGGAATTATATCCCGGTTGCACGGCACCAATGTACGGGCTGCGTCGACAGAGCGCCTCAAAAAAAGGGCTCTGGCACAGCACGTCCTCGTGCGCGGCAAACAGTCGCCCTTCGCGGCCGACGGTCAGCGTAACGATGGGCGACGGCGTGGCGGGGACCGGAGGCCCGCCGCCAGCCGCCAGCACATCACCACCAACCTGAGAGAGCGACCGCTGCAGTCTCGACAGTTTCTGGGCCTCCCGCGCGGAAGACCCGGTGAAGCTTCCGCCTCCCGCCCCATTTCCACCGCCCCGCTTCGTCAGCCTCGCCGACTTGTCCACGCGGTGCTGTGACTCCCCCGGTACGACGGCAGGATGCCGGAACGCGCGTTTGAACATGGTCGTCGGTATGGGAAAGAGCGTGGTTGCTGTGGAAGCTGACAAAGTGTACTGGGTCGCCGATGGGTTGCTTGCTTTGAAACGATCGTCGGATTGGTTCGAGAAAGTAGCGAGAGACAATCGCAGAAAAAGGATCGCGGGACTTAAAACGAAAAAGAGCGACGGGAAACGAGGAAAGAGACGCAGAAAGCAAACGAAATGAAAGTGACACACGACAAGAGAGAAAAAGATTGACAGGGACCCGGGTAGGAAGATCTTCAGAGGGAAGCTTGTCTCGAACGAATGGCTGGAGATAATCCTATGTTGTACCTTTGCGGCCCTTTTGGTTGCGTGCGATGGGGGGGAGGGAGAAAAGAAGGGAAGGCAGAAGACCGGAGGTCTTGGAGAGGGCCGGCTGCATATTTATATGACTTCCCAAAAGAGGCGGTTGGCGCTGACGGGACAGCCCTGCTTTTTTGCTTGACCTTGATTGCTGCAATGCTTGTGGCGGGGAGCGAATCGCGATGCGCGCTGGGGTGTCTGCAGCCGTTGCGACATGGGTGTGTCTGCCTTGGCAGAAGCGAGTGTTAACATGCACCGACAGGCTGGTGGCCGGTGCACCTTTCCACACCATTCCTGCCGTTTCTGTGTGGGGTTCCGTCCGAAGCGGTTGATGCCTGAATGTGTCCAAATGTTCAGTTTCGTATATCAAAAACTGATTTGTTTACCTTCTCGTCCAGCCCTGATTGTGCAGTGACGGCCCAGACGCTCTGGCCATCCGTTAGTAGAATAGCCGACAGCTTTGAATATTCGCCCAAGGGAATTAACTTGGAATTGCTTTGCCACCTGATGCGGACAGGCATTTCACCGCTTCCAGATGCAACCAGGGTGGACGCCTGGCGATTTGTTGACCAGCTGCATGTCGTATCGCTAATGTCCTGAGCCTGTTACAGGAGCCAGAAACACCGCCTCGCTGCAGCTTCTGCAGTCCTTTGCCTTGATAGGCCTGGCTTGGCTACAACACGGCTTGATTTTGGGCCAATGCGCTGTGTGCATGTCGTACAGGTCTCCGTCTGTCTGCTGCATAAGTGCGTGAATGCGTTGTGATGTGGACAATGGCGTCCAAGGTTACGTTGTCCACTCGGCGAATGCCATAACCGTCCACACTGCTCCCTGGCTGAGAATTAGGCGTGCATTAGGCTCAGACCACCCTGGTTCTGGTGTGAATTTTCGCACACTCTGCGAATGCTGGAACAACCTTCTAGGATGCCTGTCGTGAATTGAGCCTGGCCAAGAATCATGACGGTATATCAGATGATTTGTGTGGGCTTCGGGTGGCCATGTCAAGCCGCGGC